CCTCTACCCTTCCACCCCTCCACCCTTCCATTCCTCCACCCTTCCACTCTTCCATCCCTCCACCCTTCCACCCTTCCACCCCTCCACCCCTCCATCCTGCTATCCCTCCATCCCTCCATCCTTCCTTCCATCCCTCCACCCCTCCACCCCTCCACCCTTCCACCCCTCCACCCCTCCACCCCTTTACCCTTCCACCCCTTCATCCCGCCACCGCTCCACCCCTCCACCCTTCCACCCCTCCACCCCTCCACCCCTCCACCCCTCCACCCCTTCACCCCTCCATCCTGCCATCCCTCTGCCTCCTGCCACAGTCCTGAACCAGCTGGAGGAGCTGCTGAGTGACATGAAGGCTGATGTGACCCGGCTGCCATCCATGCTGTCCCGAATCCCCCCTGTGGCAGCCCGCCTACAGATGTCAGAGCGCAGCATCCTGAGCCGCCTGACCAACCGTGCCGGGGACCCCACCATCCAGCAGGTCAGGTTCGGCCTGTGCACCCCGGCCCGAACCCCCTGGCGTGCCCCTGGGTGGAGGCTGGGTGGGGGGCCTGAGGCCACCTGTGAAGCTGAGTCCTTGCCTCCAGGGCGCTTTCGGCTCCTCCCAGATGTACAGCAACAACTTTGGGCCCAACTTCCGGGGCCCTGGACCGGGAGGGATTGTCAACTACAACCAGATGCCCCTGGGGCCCTATGTGACCGGTAGGTGCCCGTCCGCTCCGGGCAGCATGCACACGGGTGCCCGCCGGGCCCGGCCTGCCTGCTGCCGCCGACGCCAGGCAAGCCCGGCTCCCCTCTCTTTCTGACAGATATCTAGCCGTCCCCGAGACTTCCCTGTGCCGCAGCGCTCATTTCCAGCTGAGGTGAGGGCTGCTGGGCCCGCTGTTCCTCCCGCCACCCCACTGCTGGCCAGTCAGGCCTGGCCACAGTCAGCCCCGCCCTGTCCTTGACTCCTCTCCCTAAGTCCTGGAGACTTTACTGCCTCTGGTGGCCTTGGGAGCCACCCTCCTGCCTGGAGCCCCTCTACCCTGCCCTCTTGGCCCTGGGACCACCTTGTGGCCAGTGTGTCTGTCCGCTGGGAGGCTGGAGTGGCAGGACATGAAGGGGTCGGTGGACTTGGGTGAGCTCCTGTGTGCACGTGTGCTCCCGTTTCACATGTGTTCCCGGTGGAAGTCAGAGACTGCTGCCCCGGCCTGGAGCCCTGTCCCGCCCCTGCTGTCCTGCTGGTGGCAGACATCACATCTCATCTTACACCTCACTCCCTGCCCACGACCAGGAGGGTGGCTGAGGGTTTTGCGGGGGTTATTGGCCAGGAGAGGGGGCTTATTTCAGAGGAACTGCCAGTTCAGTCTGGCCTTCTCTGGGGCCTCCAGCCTCCACCATGCTGTGTCTGTCCCTGTGGGAACTGTGGCTTGCCAGCAGAGGCTCCAGAGGGGCTTCCTGGCTCGCTGTCCCTGCCAGCTGTTGCTTCCTGGGTGCTCTTGGCACTCTGGGTGTAGCTCATGGCCTGGCCCGACAGCCTGTGGCTGGGAAGCCCCCGGTCCTAGCTGGTTGTGATAGGCAGTGGGGGGAGCAGCTGCAGGCTGTGGGTGCCACCCTGGCGCCCCTGTAACTGGAAGCCTGGCCGCCCACCTGCATGACCCACTTACTTGCCTTTTGCAGCCACGCCTGCCGGGTCACCTGCCTGACCCCCATGGGAGAGAAAAGCTGCCGCCTTTTTAGGAGCCAGCACCACCTTGGGACAAAAAGGGAAACCGAGTCATGGCATCACATGGAGGACGAGGCCCAGCCCGGCGCGGCCAGAGCCCAGAAGTGCCACGTCATCATAATTCAAGTGTTCTTCCACACAGTGTCGCCCCCACAACCACGCCGGACGTGCTCCCTCGCCACCTTTTCCAGACGACTCTTAGAAGAGATTTCATTTATTTGTACATCTTTTGCACTTTCCTATTGAAGACTTGAACACATTTGTCTTGATAAAAGTCAGATGACGTATGGAAGATTCGAACCTGCAGTACTGACATCTCTCTTTACCGATGGGTTCCAGATGCAAGGAAGCCCTGGCACTGCCCTGTGGACTCGGCCCAGCCGGGAGGACACGGAGCCCGGTGCCCTGGGAGCCCTTGGCGTCTCCTGCCTGTCCTGTCTACACCTGTGTGACTGCTCCTTCTGCTCCAGCCCCCTGCCTACTTGGAGCCTCCCCGCACCAGGCAGGGCAGGTTGGGGAGCAGATGTCCAGTCCGATGGTGAGACCCGGGCTGACATTTCCCCTCCTTCCTGCTGAGGCTGGAGGCTGCTAGGCGTTTGCTGTCTCCTTGCGGTGAGGGGGTCCTCTGCCAGCAGGCGTCTGTTCCCGGCCCCATGCCTCTTGAAGGCTCTGAACTCTGTTACCAGTGGGATGCCTGTGGCCCCGGCTGTTGTGTTCATGGCAGGCAGAAGCGTGTGACCCCAGGGAGGGGGTGCTGGGAGGGCCAGCGCTTGCCTCAGAGCCACTGCTGCGTTTGGGGTTTGCTTTCTGCCGGAGGTGTGGTTAAGTGACAGCAGATGCCCCAGCAAAGGAGGGTCATGGTCCCTGAGCTGGCCCAAGAGACCCTGGCCCTGCCCTGTGCTCTGGGATGCCTGCCCTGCCCACCTCTGGGGGTGGAGCTGGGCTGCCCCTGGGAGCCTGGACTTGTCCCATTCTCCTGTCCCTGAGAGGCCTTCCTGGGGCACTTCCTGCCTGAGGCTGCCCTCTTGGAGAGCGTGGGGAGAGCTCTGCCTGGAGGGGACTGGGCCCAGTGCCCTCTGCAGACCCCTCCCAGCCGCCACACCGAGGGCTTGCTGCCTTGTTTCCTGCTTGAGTGCCCTGGAGTCCCAAAACCATCTTCCCACATGTGGGCTGTTGGAATCCCACCCACTCCCCTGCCACTGCCCCTCCAAGCTGGGGATGGAGATGGGGAGCAGGTCAGGCCCTCCCTAGGCCTGTCTGTGTCTGATCCTCTTCCTGGTCCCAGGTCAGCCTGGAAGGCATTTCTGAGTCTTGAACTGGGAGCTTCCTAGGGAAGGTGCCTTGGGGTGCAGAATCCTGGGAGTGTTAGGAAGGGGCTCCGTGAGAAACCCAGCTGGGTCTGGGATGGGAGTGCCACAGGGGCTGGGACTCTGCTCCCTGGAGAGGGCCTGCCTGGGACTGGTGGGGCCAAGGCTGGGTCAGGACTCGCCGGCTTGTGTTGCAGACAATGGAGAGATTCCCTAAGCCCCAGATGCTTCCCACATAATGAGGATCTCTCTGAGGGTGGGACCCCAAGACTCCTCCATCTTGGTGCATTCCCACACTCCAGGCTGGATCCAGGTCTGCAAGGCCAGCCTGAGGTTGACCCTGAGGTTGCAGGTGGGCATAGTGGGGAGAACGCAGGGGTGGAGATGATTGTCAGCAGGCTCACATGCAGCCCGGACTCCGCCATGCGTGGGCAGCACCCAACGTTGCCTCCAGGAAGGGCAGCCCTGAACGAGCCATTGTGGTTTCTCCACGTGCGCGTTGTGTGCTTTGCCGTGCCTCCCAGCAAAGGCTCCTGGCTTGGGTCACAGGCGAGGTGACCTGCCATAAGCTCACTCCTGTGCCCCTGTCCCCAAACAAGCAGTGGCCAGCACTGGCTTGGCCCTCTTTGGGAGCAGTGCCCACCTCCCTTGGCCCACAGCAGATAGGTCCCTAGTGGCAGGCCTGGAGGTGTGTGGGAGTCAGGGCAGGAGTCCGTGTCTCCACCCCAAGGGCTGATGGCCCCTCCCCTGTGAGCCCCTCCTCCCAGGCAGCCTTGCTCTGTCCCTTCCTCTCCGCTTCCCTCCCAGGCCTCGCCAGGGCTCTCTTCTCCTCTGCCTGGTTAGACTTGGGCACCTAGGAAAGCCTGGCCAGAGCTCCTTCGGGCCCAGGCCCCCTGCACTGCCTGGTCCAGAAGAGGTGATGCGCTCTGTGGCTGGCAGCCTGGTAGCCTGGGAGCGGTGGGCTGCTGGAGTCAGAGCAGGTTTGGGGCTGACCAGTTTGGAGAGGAGAAAAGATCTTCGAGTGTCTTCTTGGCTTGTCAATCATCTCTGCCAAAAGTGGTGATGGTGGTATTGGTATCTTTGGCATCTCTGGGCTGGGTTTGGTTTTTGCTGCTGGCAGAATTAGGGGCCTGGGGCATGAGTGTGAGCCCAAAGTACCAGTCTGTGATTGGAGATTTCCAGCCACTTTATTTAAACCAATGCTGAGTAGGGCTTCTGCAGAGCCACCTTTGGGCCACAGTCTTGGAAGGCATTGCCCCGTGGCCTCAGGTGACTCGGGGTGGAGTGAGCAGGTCTGTGGGGTCCTCATACACGCCTGAGGCGGAAGCAACATCCTCCTGAAAGCCACCTTCCAAAGCTCCTGTGTTTCCTGCAAACTTGGCTTTTGCCAGGGGCGGGCCGGACTTTCCCTGCCCCAAACGATGGAAGTCCTCCTGCTTTTGGGGCTGCCTTCTCAGAGTTCCCCGGGTGCTCCCCTGCCCAAGTCAGGGGCTGACCAAGCCTTGGCCCCATGACACCGGCAGCCCTCACCGGCAACTCCTGTCATCCTGGGACACTTGAGGGCCCAAGGAGGTGGACTGGAGAGGGGGCTTGGGGACGTGGGAGCTGGAAGCCGGTGGAGTTGGTCAACTGTGGGTCACTTGGAGCCTCCAGTGTGTGCCAGGGTCTGTGGGCAGGGGACGGGGCGTGGGTGGGGGCCGAGGCCGGCATGCCATCTTGGTGACCTGGCCTCGGACCCTCCTGCAGGGCTCTCCTGTGGCAGGCCCGGCATCAGTCGTGGAGGCCGCCTCCTGCCTGTTTTGCGTGTCTGGAAGTTTACAGGTTGTGGTGCATCAGCCCAGTCATTGGCATTCTGTTTTTGTTTTCTTTTTCTTAATTTTCAGATTTTTTTTTTAACAAAGTATTTTTTTAGGTGCGATAACCCAGAAAGGGCCCGTTGGGTGTGTGTGTGTGTCCTGAATTCCTCAAGCCGAGATTGGAGCCCAAGCACCCTGGAGAGGAGGAAGGGGTCCCACTGGCCTGTGGGGTCTGAGTTCAGGGGTACGGAGGGAGCAGACCCCACCGGCCCAGGCCCGGCTAAGAGGGGGCCGACCCCTTTCCCAGGCACAGCCCCAGGCTGGCAAAGGGAGGGTCCTGGGCTGGGTGCAGGGCACGTCAGGAGTCCCAGCCAGGGTGGCCCTGGTGGGGGTGGGGTTGAGCTTTGGAAGCCGAGCTCTCCTGTGAGCCGTGGCTTGTCCGGTCTTCACCTGCGGGAGGCCGGACAGAGACCGAACAACACAATCACCTTTACTTTGTACTCTGTGTGTATGTTTTGGTTTTCTGTGTTTTAATAAATCCTTTGGGAAAGGATTTAATCAAAGAGTTTTTTTTTTTCTTAAGATTCAAGATTTAGAATAGGAATGGGGGCTGTGGCCAGGGAGGAGTAGTGGGGGCTGGGGATGTCTCCAGAAGCCTTCTTCTCTTGCCTGGGATGGTCATTTCACGAGGCTCAGGGCTCACTGGGAAGGAGGGGAGCCCAAAGCAGGGGTGTGCTGGGGTGAGGCCCCTCTCACCTGCACCCCAAACACGTACCATGAGGGCTTTCCCAGGCCTTGATCTCTGTCTTCATGAGAACAGCAGCCTCCCAGCAAGCAGCTCTGACCCTTGGCGCTGGTGAAAGAATGTGTTGGGGGCGGTAGGGGAGGCACCCACCCTCTGTGGGCCCCTGAGCGGACTCGCTTGGGAGAGATCTTCTGACCACCTTGTCCGCAACCTCTGTCCCTGATCTCTCTCTCTCCACGGGCCCTTTCCAACCCACCCGCCCTCAGCTGCAGGCTCAGGTTCGGGGGAGGCCCCAGCCCCTGGGCCCCTGGGGCCAGCAGCCTCTTCCTCCCCTCCTCACCCCGGCCCAGCCCTGACCCCGAGGACATGAGAGGAGCAGAAAGGCGCAGAGTCCGATGGGTTTGGGCTTTATTTTGCCATTCCATAAATACGGTGGCTGAGTCGTGGTCTGAGTCTTGTTTGGAAGCTCAAGGCATAGGACAGTCTCTGCCTAGGTAAGGAATGCAATTAGCTGAGGAACCACAGTTGGTTAAAAAAAAGGAAAAAGCACATTATTTACATGACTGGACAAGGACAAAAGATGGGCGGAAGCCCCCGTCACTCCTTGGGACCTGGGGTCTGGCCACAAGGCTGAGTGGGAGGGAAACAGTGGGGGCCCTGCAGCGGCCAGCAGGGCCAGCGCCGCCCTTTCTAGACCCCACTGGCCTTGGCCTTCTGTACTTCCTCAGATGGTGCCACCCAACACCCCCCCTCCCGAGTCGGGGGACCTGGCCCCAGGAGGCAGAGCCCTCACACCCTCGCTGCGGTTTGGTGTGGAGCAAACAGGACACCCAGGAGCCAGATTGTGGGAAGAGCTGTGCCCGAGGCTGCCTGCATCCTGGCACCAGGGCCTTGGGCCTCGGCCAAGCTCACCAGGGGCCCGGCCTCCCTGTGTTTGGCAAACTCGCAGCCTTCGCGGGCTCAGCTGCCCCTGGTGTGGCTTGTATTAGGCAGCAGTGCCCACCCTGGGCACCACCTCGTGCGCCCATCCCTCTTCCAACAGTGGGTGGGGCTGGGGTGGCAGTGGGGATGGGGCCAGCCACCCTCCCTGAAGGCAAGGGGGGGCCACCTGCCCTCCGGCACCACTGGCCACTGCAGGACCTAGTCGTGGAAGGAAGCAGGCGACTCCTACCTGGACCTGGGCCACAGGCTGGGACCTCCATTGGGAGGAGACTTCCCTGCCCCACACCTGCAGGGCTGCTTCTGGTGAAGCCAGCAGCAGGACTGGTGGAGACCCCGGGAGTTGGTCTACGAGGAGGGGCCCGGGTTTAGACGCCGGGGCAGCGTGAAGGGGGGTTGGGAATGGCAGAAGCTGTGTCCCTCTCCTCCTCTCAACCTGGCCCCTCCCCGCTGGTTTTTGTGGCTTTCACACATAGCTTCCCAGGCCTCGGCCCGGCCAGGACAGGATAGCAGTCCCTGCAGGATGGCAGGGTGGAGCCTTCTGGAACAGCGGGCTCCGGTGGGAACAGAGGAGCCCCAGCTGAGGTTCGCCCTGGGGGCAGGAAGCACAGGCTTCCCCGTGGGGCCTGCTGGCAAGGGGTGGGGGCGGCTTTGGGAGAACCCTGCCCCACACAGTCAGCAAAGCCTGGGTACTTCTCAGGACACAGGCCTGGGCCTCTAGACGGCATCTCAGCACCTGCAGGCTTCTTGGCATCCCCAGCCCTCTGGCCCAGGCTGCACAGGGGCGTCACTCTGGCTTGCCCTGCCCTCCCTCCCCCTCCCCGGTCTGTTGCAGGCACTGGGCAGTGGGAAGGGCTCACCTGTCCTGGCCATCTTTCCAGGGAGAGGTTCCCTGAGGTCTTTGCCCACATTATGGGGGCTGCAGACCCCCAGTCCTGGGCACACAGCACAGAAAACCCCAAGGGCCTTTCTTTACTGAAAAGGTCCAAGCATGCTCTCTGCAAAACCCAAGCCCACCACCTTGGCGCAGAACAGCAGCCTGGGGTCGAGGTGGCTTTAGAGGAGGTCTACAGGGGCCAAGAGGAATGTGTCCTTGTGCACAGGGCCCTCCTGCTGCCACATGTCGTGATGTAGCCAGCAGCCACCATCCAACTAAGAGCACATGACCACAGGGCCTTCCGGGGCCAGGACAGAGGGGTGGCGGACAGAGGGGTGGCCGGACAGAGGGGCCTGCCCCCGCTGGGACCTCTCCCAAGTGCTCTGGGCCTCGCTGGTGTGAGGCTCATCACTGGTGTGTGGACGGAAGGTGGTGGGATGCTGAGCTGGAAATCAGACCCCTACACTTTTTGTGGCTCCCAGACTGGTGGAGCCAATCCCCCTGGGTCCCTGCCCCTGCCAGCAAGGGTGGGGGTGGGTGGGGGTCAAGGGCCAGCTCGAGCTTGGTAGGCAAGACTCCTGCGGGGACCCAGTGGGAAGGGTTGGAGCAGAGAAGGTTGGGGGAGGAATCTGGGGTCAGGCCCCCCAGGCTGTACCTGGAGCCCCTGGCAAGTGGTAGGTGGAGGAAGACCCCAAGTGGGGAGGCTCTGCCCCAGCAACCAAGGCCCTGGAAGAGGGACCCCTCGATGGGCCAGACCCCTCTCCCCCTCCCCCCACACCAGGTAGGGATTCTCAGCAGAGGAGAGGCCGGCCCTGCCTGCCCCAAGGACCCAATCGGGCCTTGGCCTGGCCTTGACTTTGGGACTCGTGGCTGCGGCTGGCAGAAAGCTGGGTGGTCTCTTCTTGGAGGATGAGAGGACGTGACAGGCTGGGGTGGGACAGCTGGGACGTCCTTCCTAACCAATGCCATTCCCGGCACAGGTGGGACTTCGACATGGTCTGGTGAAGCAGTGGGCGGTGTCTGGCAGCGACTTGGGAGATGGTTTCCCGATGACATCACAGTGTGGTGTTTCTCTTTGATGCAAACCACACTCTTTACTTGGCTTCGAAACAGCTTAAGCGAGCGAACAGAGACTAGGAGGGAACGGGAACTGTCCGAGCAGGCGGGGGCGGCTTAGGATCTGTAGTCCTTTTTGCTGTAGGGTTTATTGCCCAAAATACTATCAATCTCGTGGATAATGGAAGACGACAGCTTTGGAAGGACCTGCGCGCAAGAATAAGAACGAATCAGAATCCCGCCCACCACGGGCCTGGCCGGGGGCGGAGGTGGGCGAGGCTCCTCCAGGTGGTCGGTGGGCCAGGCCCGAGTTACCCCATCACACCTGGGCTCCATCTGAGGCAGATGGAGGCTGTGCTGCTTTTGTGTTCCCGAAGGTTCGGGGCAGACAGGAAGCATGCCTGGGTCTGGGCACTACCCCTCAAATGCCAGGGCGCTCTAGAACCTTCCTGTAAGGGTGGAGGCAGCAGTGCCATAAAACGCAGACTCCAAGGCCAGATGCTGGACTTCCACATCCGACTGCCCTTTCCGGCTGTGCGTGCCCCGGCTGGCAGCACCGACAGCCTTCCCGGCGATACAGCCAGGGCCCGGCTTCCACCTCGCTTTCGCACCCCCAAACTGACAAACAGCAGGTGGTCAGCCAACCCCACAGCCCCGCCTTCCCAGCCGTCCAGGATCCTACCACCATTCCCGTCTTGGAACTGCAGCGCCTCGTCCCACCAGGGCCCTCTGCCTTGGACTGTGCTTCCCAAAGCCTCCAGGATGGGGCAGCCAGAGAGCAGGCTCCCTTTCCAGGCTGAGCTGCAGCTCGCCCTCCTCTGCCCAAATTTTGCCCAGGGTCCCACCTCACTCAAAGGCAGCATGCCAGTCCCCGGAGGGGTGCAGTGCCTTTCGGATCTGCCTCTCTGCCCCACGCCTTCTCGGGCCTTTGCATTGACGGTTTCTGCTGATGGAAGTCAGCCATTTGCATGGCTTACTCTGCGCTTCTTCAAGGCTTTGCTTGAGCACGACCTTCTCAACAAGCCCACCCCACGGGCCTCCTTGAACCTGGGTCTGCAGTGCCACTGTCCCTGGCCCCAGCTCCCCACCCCTCCCTCCCCTCCCCTCCAGGCTCTCCCCTGTGGCGCCCCTCCACTCCCAGCACACATTGTAACCTCCTTGTTCCTTGCAGTCAGTGTGTATGTCTGTTCCTGCTGGAAAGCAAGGTCTCCAGGAGCAGAGCTCTGATGGTTCACGGACACATCCTGAGCGCCTGGAACAGAGCCTGGCACGCAGGATGAGCCTGGGAGGATGCACTGGACGGGCACAGCTGGGATGGGGACTCTGCCCAGCACGGCCTCTCGCACTCACCTGTATTGCCCCAATGTTCTCCATGAGCTGGTCCGCGTTGGAGGCCCCCAGGAGCACGGAGCTAACGCCCTCGTTCCTCAGGCACCAGGCTGTGTCAGCGAGACCCGAGGTGAGGAAGAGACAATCACTGCAGGGGCCCCTGATGGCTCCGCCTTGCCCCTGACTGGGCCCCAGCGTCTTAGTCTCGGGGCTGAGGGTGCTTAGGAAGCCTAAAAGTGCTGGGCAGGGGCTGTGCCTAAGAGGAGGCTGGAGGGGGCGTGGGGCTCCCTGGTGGAGAGGTGGCCCAAGTGCCCAACGCTCCCCAATCTCTTCCCGTAAAAGTGGGAGCCCCATTACCACGGCTGTTGGATGGAGGGCGTGGCCCAGGTCCTCAGGAACTCCTGACATCCCCCTAGAGGCACGGGGTCCCAACCATTCCCCTTAGAGCCCTGTCACCTGTGGCCAGCTGGGGGCTGATGTCCAGGGATCCCTCCCCTCTCTCCCCAGGGACACTGGTCCATTGGTGCCCCCAGGCCTGTTACCTATGGCCAGCTGGGGCAGGGTGCAGCCCAGGCGCTCGGCGAGGGCCTGCAGCTCCTTCAGCTTGGCCTGCTGGCGCCGGCCCTCCTCACTCAGGATCTTGTCCTTCAGCCACTGGTAGCCCTGGTTGAGATGAGGAGAGCAGGTCACTGGACCCCAAGCGCAGGGGGCCAATGGGCTCATTCCTTCTGGACCCTTTGCCCTCATAGGGCTCATCTCATCATGAAGCCAGGACAGTGCCCCTGCCCCAGGCCTCTCAAGCAGGGAGAGTGGACAGTGGGCTGGGCACGGGCAGGTGGATGAACGGGGCCTGTCCAGGCTCTGGAATGCAGAGACTGTGGTGCTGGCCCAATCCCCAGCCAGGACAAGGAGGCGAGGTGCTGGCCTTCCTTCTCTTAGGGAGCTTGGCAGCCTGGGGCCTTGGCGGCCACCTGCGGCCCAGAAGAACCTCCTGGCCCTAGGGGAGTGCCCTCTCCCCAGCCATCCCTCCCAGAGGATTGCAGGGCCTCCTGGGGGGCGTCCTGCCCTTGCGGTGGGATGGGAGGAGTGGGGGGCCGGGCCGTGCTGCTGGTGGGGGCCCCAGTGCGGAGTCTGCTGGCTGGGCAGGCTTTCTTGGCCTGCTCCTCATTCCCCAGATCCTGTAGAATGGGGACCCTCCTGAGTCCCCACCAGGAGGTTGTGTGCTGGGAAGAGGCGCCTGTCCCAGGGTCACCTCCGTGTGGCTCTGCAACCCCTATCCCTGCGCCCAGGCCCAGGGGTCTCAGTAGTGGCGGATCAGTGAATGCTGAACTGTGGTGAGGGGCAAAGGTGGGGGGATATGTGAAAGGGCCTGCTCACTGGGGCCTGTGCCAAAGGCTGGGCAGCCCCTCTGGACATGGAGTCTGGCCAGAAGGGGCTCCATGTTCTCATGCCAAGGATCCCGTCCCCAGCAGACCGAGGTGGGAGCAGCTTCAGCCCCCGAAGCCCCACCCAGCACCAATGTGGTTGGCCCAAAGGTCCCTCCCCTCCAAAACGCCTGTCCTCTGCCCGTCCCTCCCCACCAGGCCGTTCCTTCACCTTCAGGGAGGCTCTTGAGTAGGGCGGGATGCCACTGTCGTATTTGCCAGAAACGATGCCACAGGCCAGAGGCGACCAGGTCATGGCGCCCACTCCTGAGAGAGGAAAAGCAGGTGGAGTCAAGCCCTGGGCCAGAGGGTGGGGGGTGGGGCGGGGCAAGGGCCCGAGGGTGGGGGTGGGGCGGGGTGAGGGCCCGGGGGTGGGGGTGGGGCGGGTGAGGGCCTGGGGTGCCCACCTATCTTGTGGAACAGCTCTGGCAGCTGAACCTCCACCTTCTCGCGCTGGAACATATGGTACTCAGCCTGCTCGCAGATGGGCGGGGTCAGGTTGAACTGCCGGGCCACCGAGTAGGCCTCCTGTGAAGGCAGAAATGGGCCCCAGTGGCCCCTGACCTTGAGCGGGTAGGGGGCTTCTGGGGTAGCCAGGGAGGGGGCACCAAGGCGTGCCCGGGACAGGCTGGTCTGGCAGCTGCAGCCTGGGTTGCAGCAGTGGGTCTCCCCGCTGCTCACACTCCTAGTTCTCCTGGGAGCCAACGAGGCCCTGGTAAGCTGGGAAAAGAGGGTGGATGGTGGGATGTCCAGGCTGGAGGGTCCAGTTATGAGCAGCCCAGCCTCTGAGCCACACAGCCTGGATGCCAATCTTGGCCCAAGCTGTGTGACCTTGGCATGTTACTGAACCTCTCTGTGCTGCCACATCCACGTCTGAAAAATGGGCTGCCTGTGGCATCACCTGGTAAGGCACTGTGAAGATGGCATTCGAGTGGGTCCCTGTGCAGCCCTTGAACCTAACAGCGCCTGGCACATAGTGGAAGTGGCCAGTGTTGTTATTACCCCCGAGTGCTCCCTGAACTCTAGGATGTCTGCTAAGAGCTTCACACTGGCTCTCTCAGGGACTCCTCAGGTTGCCCCATGAGGACTCACCCAGCAGACGTGTTCTATAGATGGGTAAACAAGCTCAGAGAGATTAAGCCATTTGTCCAGGGCCACACAGCGCTGGGATTCACGTGGAATCCCCGTCTTCAAGGACTGCATACATAACCACCACACTCCACCATCCTGTCCCTCCCTTAGCTCCCGGGCATTGGTGCAGTTGGGACCAAAGGCACAGACCCTGCCAGAGCCTTGGGGTCTCCGTGGGCAGCCTATGCCAGGAGCCCGTGCCTGGACACACACATACTGCGCGGTCGCCGTACCATGATCTCCATGGAGCTCCAGCGTGACGTGCCCCAGTACATGGCCATCCCCTGGTTGATGACGTGGGTCATGGCGCGGACGGTCTCTGTCGCGAGAGAAGGCGAAATTGCAGGTGGGGGGTGGCTGGGGCTCTGGGCCAGCCTCGGGACATTCTGCAGATGCAGGCAGGAGGCTGGGAGGAGGGACAGGGGCTGCGAACATGTCTTGCAAGCAGTGTACTTCTGGCTCTGAAGTTGGGTGTGGGAGGGGTTTTTTGGGATGAAAGAGAAAAATGAACCACAATCCTAGAAGCTGGTCCTGAAAACCATTTCCCTGACTGGTTACAGGCCTATGGAAATGTTGAAAAATGGGTTATGGATGGACTGTGATGTTTCTATGGCAGATTAGAGGGGACATCAAAGAATGAAGGTGGCTGTGGACTCTAGAATTGGGGCTTCTCTGGTCTCGGGAAGATTCTGGGGCCTTGATCACTTAGGAAGGACCAGGTGAATGCATTCAAGCTACCGTCCGATTGGCAGCAGGAGGGAGACGTGTTTTCGCCTGTTTCTGGATTCCTATTTTGGGCTATCCCAAATTCTCACTGGAATAGAGAGCAGACTGGAGAAGGGGAAGCGGCAGGACTGGGGTGCCGTGTGGTCCTGGAGGACAGGGCTTCGAGCCGAGCTTCTCTCATGTCCAGGAGACTGAGAAGCAGGCCTGGAAAGCCCAGGTTCTCAAAGCAGCCCAGCACCAGGCCAGAGTCCCAACCTGCCTGTCCCTGACAAGGGGAGATCCCAGGGCCACAGGGGTCTGGGTGCTCCTCCTGTAAGGGGCCATGGCCTGGAGTGGAACAGTTTTGACGCTCCACAAGCCCTGGGAACAACCTGAATCGTGGATGGCAGAGACACCTAAGCCCTGAGGACAAAATCTCAGAGACTCCATGCTGGCTTTTTAAAGAAGAGAGGAGGGACCCTCGCCCCAGCGACACGGTGGATTCTTCCCAGTATTCAAAAATGTTTTTGAGACATAACAATTTGGTGGTTATAGCTCCCTCAGCCTCATGGGGATGTGATTTTAAAAACAGAACTTGGCCTCAACATTTCGGATTTCAGAAGCCTCTTAGCTTTGCGGGGTGACGGACTGTGCCTCCAGTTTCTCACGGGTCTGATACAGTGCTTGCAAGTTGGACTGCCAAAGGCAGTGTGGGAGTGAAGTGGGGTGCAAGTGTTTCTAAAAACAGCAATGACATTGACCCTGGAAAAGCCCCGGCTCTCCCTAAGCGCCTGCTTGTTCTCTGCCCAAGTTGCGGGGAAGCTGAGGTCCTGAAAATGGCTGGGAGTGGGGCCGATGGGAAGGAAGGAAGGATGGAGGATGCTGGGCTTGCTCTGCAGGCGCCACCTCGGAATGGCAATGAGGCCACGGAGTGGCAGCGCTGGCTTCCCGTCGACTTCTGTTTTTGGGGTTTCTCCTAAGCGCCCCTTTATTGAGATTCACCCTGAACAGAACCTGGGGCCTCCTAAAGGCTAGAGCTGAGGCCACTGGGGTTTCTGGAGCGGTGGTCTCGGCAGACTCACCCAAGACCCCTGGCAAACCCCCCCCGGCTTCCACGCTTGCAGGCCCAGCCCTGCTTTCTGCTTCCTTCCAAGGTCAGAGGTTGTTCCCAGAGGCTCCTGGGAACCGTCTCCGTCCCCTCCTGGGGGTGGAGATCTGGGAGGGAGTCTGACCTCTCAGGGCCACCTCCCTGGACCACCTGCTTTAACAGCCAACACCAATAGGTCTGCTGGGGAAGGTCTGAGGAGAACCTGAGGCTCCCAGAAGGATCTCCGACTACATCCTGCCCCGGTCCAGGCTCTGGGCCTGGCAGCCTCGTGAAGATTTTTAGAAACACTCTCGGGGCACCTGTGACCATGCAGCACGAGTTCCCGGGTCTGTTCAGCCAAGGCTAAGGTCCACATGCTCGAGAGAGGGAAGCCAAGGCCCCCAGGCCAGCCTGTTCCCTCACTCTCCCTCCCCGCCAGCTGTCTCAGGTCACCAAGGTCCCAGCCAGTGAAACCGCACACTGCCCTGGGGCGCCCCTTCCATGCAGCGACGGGGAGACAGGGCTGACGGGCAGGAGCCTGCAGGAACCCCTGGCTGTCCTGGGGTGGGGGGTCCTAGGCAAAGGCCCCTGGGCTCCCTGGAGGATCTGGGCAGAAGCAGGCTGGACAGGGGCCACACCAGGGAGCACCCAGCGCTTGTGCCCAAGCGTGGTATCAGTGGCCCCAGGTGCAGGGACAATTAGGGACAACTTTCCTTCACCTCAATATTTAAAGCTGCTGAACAGAAGTAGGAGGACTGAATCTTTCTAGCTGCTGCCAAAACCCATGGTATCTCCTGCCATGTCACAAATAATACATGGGGGGTCAGGTGGCAGTGCCAGTTGGCAGACAGGGGCCCAGGCCCAGGAGACCAACGCCCGCCCGTGGGGTGGGGTCCTTGGGCCCTTAGCTGTGGAAAGGGCAGAGAGGCCACGTGTGGCCCAAGGCTGCTCCCTGGTTTCAGAAGTCCCTGGTTATTCTTCCAGGAGGAAAACGACTTCATGTTGATGGAGAGATTTGGCCACCTGGTGAGAGGCAGGGGCCCTGCCCACCGAGGGAACACACAGCCAGCATGCTGTCCGAGGAGCAGCGTGCTGTGGATGGGGCAGCCTGCCAAGCCAGGTGTTCTTTGCCTCCAGAAGAGACAGGAGCTTAGTGAATGCAAACCGTGGAGGAGCTAAGACTCAGTGAGGGCTACATGTTCTGGGGTCCCTGACAGGTTTGCGCCTTGTGGAAACCTGGTCTTCCCCAACCCTTCCCATGGCACCATCCAGGGTCAAGGCTCCAGGTGGGGATCGCAGCATCCTCCGATCAGGAGGACCCCCGGCCGCCACGGAGCACAGCAGTCAAGCCCAGGGGTGGGGACATGCGCAGGAGCGGAGAGGAGGAGGAATGAGATGACGGGGGTTGGGGGCTGGGGGCTCCAACACCACTTTGCTTTCCTTCACTTGCAAGGTGTTCTCACAGGGTGCTCTTTCCCCGTTTTATGCATTTTATGGAGAAGTTTGTCATGGGGTGAAAGAATCATGTACTTAAAAATACTGTCTCATAAAATGCAGCTCAGAAGTCAATAGTCAGGCCGGGGGCACTGTGTACCTTCTATGATGAATGTCCTTGACTTGGAGGAACTAAATGGGTCCCCTGGTGATAAAAGAAAGATTTAAAGAGACCAGAGTTGATAGCTGGGAGCACTGAGAGGCGGGGCACGACAAAGGCGCAGAGGGAAGCACAAAGCCCCGCGCGGAGCACGAGTTTAGTTAAAAAGGAAAAAATATATCCACACTCGCACGTGCGCGCTCACATGAGCATGTGAAAACAATAACTGGAAGACAACTTAATTTTCAGGTCCCTGAAGCAGCAAAGCAGACACAGAAGGACACCTGTAGCAGGAGGACACCTGTAGCAGGAGGATGGGGGAGCGGAGGGGCGGAGGTCAAACCGCCAAAGTAACCAAAACCATGAAAAGCGCGGAATTTTTTTTCCCTCTATTTATCCCCCAGAGCAAAAAAAGACCCCCAAGCCTCTCCACGGATCATGAATGGAGAGAATACCGCAGTTGGAGTCCCCACGAGTGACTTCACTTAGCTGCAAAACAGCAGCTGCAGGGGGAGGGGACAGTTCCAGTGCGGCTTTGACTGGGAGGGTGGGGCAGGGTGGTGGGGATCCGCTGGGGTACAAAGCAAGGACAGGGACTCGGGCTGGAGGTGGTTGGCAGCCAGAGGCTGAGCTCACTCCCACTGTGGGGAAGCCTGGCCCCTCGACCCCCACCCGGACCCAGCCTCCTCTCATGGCTCACCCAGATGCCCAGCAGGGCCCATGCTGGCCGCCTCCACAACCGCAGGTTCAGACCCTTTGGATGCCGCCCAGGCCTCACCTGCAGCGCCACCGCAGACCACCTACCTTCCATCGGGGTGTTGGGGTCCGGGCGGTTGGCAAATACCACGTCCACATACTCCAGCTGCAGCCGCTCCAGAGAAGCTTTCAGACCTGGGGGAGGACCGGGCAGGGGCATCACCACTGTGGCTGCACCTCCACAGACACCCGGGCCGCTCCATTCCATGCCCAGCTCAGGGAAAAAGAGATGGAGAAGAGGCCCCTGGCATCTGGAAGCTCCGGAAGCTTCTGGAGGTGGTGAAATGCCTCAGCATAGGTGGAGAGTGGGGTGGGAGGGTCTCGCCTTCAGGAGGATGTCGGGGGCCACAGGCCACACGTCCTCGACTAAGTGAGGGGAGCCCCTCCTCCCCCTAGACAGCACGCCCTCCTCTGAGGCCACTGTGTTACAACAGGGAGAGCACGTCATCTAGCACATGTGGAGGGAGGAAGGCTACACCTGCTGCCCCTCCCACCAAAGGCAATAGTGTCTATGGCCAGGCACGGGGGCTCTTGCCTGTAATCCCAGCATTCTGGGAGGCAGAGGTGGGCGGATCACTTGAGGTCAGGGGTTCGAGACCAGCCTGGCCAACATGGTAAAATGCTGTCTCTACTAAAAATACAAAAAAAAAAAAAAAAAAAAAAAGAATTTGCCAGACGTGATGGCGGGCACCTGTAATCCCAGCTACTCAGTAGGCTGAGGCAGGAGAATCGCTTGAACTCGGGAGGCGGAGGTTGCGGTGAGCCGAGATTGTGCCACTGTACTCCAGTCTGGGCGACGAGAGTGCAACTCCGTTTCAAAAACAAAAACAATGGCAATGGTGTCTAAAACGCCCAAGCCGCCCGTGAGTGCTTAGAGCAGCTTAGGACACACAGTTGGCAGAGTGAAATTCTGGGTTGGGGATGGGGAGGATGGGAGCGGGTGGCAAGCCCCGTAGGTGATTATCAATGGAGTGGTCTATTACCTTGAAGAAAATGCACACAGAGAGCAAAGGCATGCAGATAATAAAAATGCAGCAAGAGCCGGATGCCCGCCGCCTCGCTCCCGTGCCCGGGGGTGCTGAGTCGGGGCTGTGTGGCGTGCACCTTTTCCTGGGCACTGTGGGCATCCCAGCCACCCTCGCTGGGGTGTGCTCTTACTGTCCCCACTGCACAGTACTGTGGGAGAGGCGGGGGCAGGGTGCCCCTTGCTGAAGACCCACTCAGCCAGTGCGGGCCGAACCTGGACTGAAACCCAGGCTGGTCTGTGCTCAGCCACCAGCTGCCCTCGTTCCCGACAGGGTCCCCCTGTGCTGCCTGGGGTGGAAGCAGAGGGTCAGGCCAGAGCACTGGGTGCCTCAGGATTGGGCGCTCGGTCGGGTAACTGAGGGGTCGGGCACTGTGCTGTCTTCACGTTGGCCTCTGCTGATGATCCCACAGGTGTGGGCCCTGAGGTGCCCAAGCACATCCTCACCTTCAATTATGTGCTTCCTGGACAGGCCCCGCTCCGTCTCCGCCCTGAAAAACAGGCCGACCGCGTGTGATGTTGCCAGTGGTTTTGGTGCCTTGACCCCTCCCAGAAAACATTTATGATGTGGTGTTAGGTGCTAAAACTCGGTCAGCAAACGCCGTGTGCAGTCGGATTTCATATCGGAGGTAGGTACCCCAGGCTACAGGGCTGAATCCCCAGAGGCCCGGGGGAAGCCTGATCACAGGGCTTAGAGGGGAGGTGGGCAGCCGCAGGGGATGAGGGAGCTTTTGTTTTCCAACTTAACCTGTCTGTTTGATTTGGACTTAATTTTTTTAGAAAATTAGGAATGAATCAGGCTGGATACAGTGGCTCGTGCCTATAATCCCAGCGCTTTGGGAGTCTAAGGCAGGAGGATCATTTGAGCCCAGAAGTTCAAGACCAGCCTGGGCAACATAGTGAGACCCCTTATCTTAAAAAAGGACAAATTAAGGCCAGATGTGGTGGCTCACACCTGTAATCCTAGTGCTTTGGGAGGTTGAGGCGGGCAGATTACTTGAGCTCAGGAGTTTGAGAGCAGCCTGGACAACATGATGAAACCCATCTCTACAAAATACACACAAAACAAAAAAATTAGCTGGGCATGGTGGCATGTGCCTGTTGAACCAGCTGCTTGAGGCAGGAGGGTTGAGAACCCAGGAGGTCGAGGCTGCAGTGAGCCGGGGCTATACCACTGTACCCCCGACTGAATGACAAAGTGAGATCTTGTCAAAAAAAGAAACAGAGAAACAAAGAAAGAAAAAGAGAGAAAGAAAAAGGACAAATTAGTCAGGCATGGTGGCACATGCCTGTAGTCCCAGCTACTCAGGAGGCTGAGGTGGGAGGATCGCTTGAGCCCAGGAGTTTGAAGCTACAGTGAGCCACGATCACGCCACTGTGCTTCAACCTGGGCGACAAAGTGAGACCCTGTCTCAAAAAAAAAAAAAAAAAAAAAGAATAAATGAATTGTAGTTGTAATTCCTATGAGCCCGTGTGTCCAGCCCCCAGAAACTATGGAGCGGACACCTGGAGCCCTGCAGGGCTGACAGGTGGCGCATGGGATTTGGAGTGGTTTGGGCAGTTCACAAATTTTCTGTTTTCCATAATTTTTATGATGTTACTGAAGTGACCAGGAAAAAAAGAATCCATGTAAGTAAAAAGAAAAGTTAAGCAAGGTTTTTGTAAAAGGCAAACTCAGCCACAGCATTTTTTTTTGATTTGATGTCCCTTAACAGGGACAGGCTCCGGGCATAGCTGGTGGCTGCACCAATGCCAGCTGTGCCCCCGCTGGGGACAGGAAACAGCACTGGGCCAGGGCCTGTCCAGGGTGGACCCCGACCACTCCCCCTTCCCAAGGAGGACTGTCCTCCCCCCACCCAGGAGCCTTCTAGGTTAGGGTTCTCTGGGGAGCGTCGGGCCGTGGCTGCTGGGCCCGGGCTGGAAGCTTCGCCCGCTGTTGCACCTACTTTCCGCCCCAGAAGATCTTGGTGGTGATGACGAGGCTGGACCGCCTGCGGAACAGAAGAGAAGGAAGGAATGTGATGGGGCCCGGTCCCTGGGGGTCCTCCTTCATCCCCAAAATCCTCATCTCTCACACAGAGGTCCTGAAAGCCTGGGAGCCTGGGGCATAAAACGGGCACTTCCCCATCTTTTGATGTGTACCACATGCCAAGCCGGGGTACGTGGGTTCCTCATTGAACCAGGAGGCAGCCGCTGAGGCTGTAACTGTGTGTCAGGCAGGGGGAGTTGGACAGTGGGGTGCCCAGTGTGACAGGATCCTGGAGCAGATGCCTTCTGCCCAGGATGTAGGAGGGGGCCTGGCTCAGGGAATCCTGGGGCGCATGGATTTGGTCCACGTAGAGGAAGTGGCAAGAGTCAAGGCCGGAGGAGGCCGGGTGTAGGCCAGGGGGCAGGGGTGGGCTTGGGGGGCTCTGGCAGGAGTTGAGGATGGCAAGATTCAGGCGGGAGGCAGGCAGGGAAGCTGGCACAGGGGGCCCAAGTGTGGCCAGACTAATGGGGTTCTGGGTTTGAGTAGCTGAGGCAGAGAACTCTGAGGATTTGGGCTTGAGCAGAGTGAAGGAAAGGAATTTGTTCTTCTGCTCTGAGTTCACACAAGGCAACGCTCATACCAGCGGCTTTGTCCTGGTGGGATGGGGGATAATGATGGCCCCTCCTGGCCACATTTGACTTTGACCCCTCCCAGAGGAGGGGATACCCCTCATCCGGGGGTGACAATGACCTCCTGGTGCCCCATGGCTGAGCTTCTTTCCCACCCGGGTCCTGGCTGGTCGGGGAAGCAGCTCACGAGGCCGGGGCAGGAGGCCTCCTTTGCCCCCGAAGCATCAGCCACCAAGCTCTGGCTGGGGCAGCGTCACCTCCAGGCAGAGGAACCACCACATACTACCTCCATGTGCATTCACTAAAGACACGGTCAGGTATTTGTAATACGTGCAATTTCCTTTCACTAAGGGGTGAGGAGGAATTTGTGAGTTGCCAAGAAACAAATTTGATGGGACAAGAAGGGGTGTCAGGAATCCATGGGGGAGGGGATGGGAGCTGCCCAGCAAATGGCCCTCAGAGGGGAGGAAGGAGGGAGGACCAACTTTGTAATTGCTTCTGATGTTTCTGAAAATAAAGAAACATTTATTAAGAAACAGGGTACTGGGGCTTGTCAGCCCCTTCAGATAAAGCTGTGTCCAGGGGTCTGGGGAGCCCCCAAAATGTAGGAAGTGCTGATCCCGGTTGGTCCCAGGGAGGGTGATGACCTTGGCCTAAGAAAGGTCCAAAGGCTCCTGGGAGACCAGGGTGGATGGCCCCCAATCTGTGACCTTTGGGCTCCATCACACCCGGGGACCACTCCCAAGGTCCTTGCTGGAGGGCTGCCACTTCCCAGGCGAGTGTGGCATGTCCAGCCCTAAACTGGATGAGTGATTTTCAGACTTGGGGCCACTGACCCTCAGGATAGCCCGCCAGGGAGGTCTGACACACACTCCCTTACAGAGGCGAGCAGTGAGCTCCGGAGAGGGGGAGGCTCTTGCTAAGGTCCTGTGGACAGGGTGCAGGGTGGGATCCAGCCCCCGTCTACGGGCTCTCTGAGCCATCCCCTCTCTGGCAAGCTGGCTCCCCTGACCCTCAGTGCTCCACCTGAAGAGGTGGAAGGGCTTTGCACCCCATCTTCTGTAGCAGCACCCCTCTGCTGTACCCAGGCCCGTCAGGGAGTTCTCACTCCAAGCTCTTTTTGGCCCACCTCTTTGCAAGCGGGCACCTTGGTGTTCAGGGTCTCTGGATGACTTGGAGATGGAGGCTAAGGTGGGGGTGGAGACTAAGGTGGGGTGGAGGCGGAGGAGGGGGTGGAGGCTAAGGTGGGGTGGAGACTAAGGTGGGGTGGAGGCTAAGGTGGGGTAGAGGCTGAGGAGGGGGTGGAAGCTAAGGTGGGGTGGAGGCTGAGGAGGGGGTGGAGGCTAAGGTGGGGTGGAGGCTAAGGTGGGGTGGAGGCTAAGGTGGGGTGGAGACTAAGGTGTGGGTGGAGACTAAGGTGGGGGTGGAGGCTAAGGTGGGGGTGGAGGCTAAGGTGGGGGTGGAGGCTAAGGTGGGGTGGAGACTAAGGAGGGGGTGGAGGCTAAGGTGGGGGTGGAGACTAAGGTGGGGTGGAGGCTAAGGTGGGGTGGAGGCTAAGGTGGGGGTGGAGGCTGAGGAGGGGGTGGAGGCTAAGGTGGGGGTGGAGAGGTTATCCCGCCTCCCCTCAGCTTCCTTCTCAAGCAGAGTCACCTTCTCCTCTTGGAAAACTTAATTTTCCTCTCCACTTCCCATCAAGAAAAACGTGGGGACCTGGAGGCCTTACGATGCCTGCACCACGGGCCGATGAGGCGGACCTGGGACAGTTTGCTACGCACCCAACCGGGACAGACCGCAGAGAGTGGAGTCATTACCTCCATCCTTTCTTCTTAATGATGTTTCCCAGCACCACTTCAGCCCTGCAAAAAACAAACAAAAACACTGAGATGGCATCACAGCCAAACAGAAAAATCAGTCAATCAAACCCAGGCCCACTGTGACCACCGGCCGCTTGGTCCCCTCTGTGGAAGTGTCACTGGGGCCACAGAGTCAGGCTGTTAACACCTGCCTTGGCTAAGTAGCTCATTCCAGAGAGAGGGCTGGCCCGAGGGGCGGGAGCGGCAGTGTTACTGCCCCGCTAAGAGGGCTGTGGGCATGCGCCCCGGCAGGCGCTCATCTAGGCAGGGGCAGCCCCAGCTCTCACAGAGAAGGAAGGTGCTGCTGTCATGCCTGGCAAGGCCAGCGTCCCATTTCCTAGTTGGCTGAAAATTCACCAGGGAAAATGCCTGGCAACATTAGGTGGGCAAAATTTCCAGACAAGCATTTTTTTTTTTTTTTGAGATGAAGTCTCGCTGTGTCACCCAGGCTGGAGTGCAGTGGCGCTATCTCGGCTCTCTGCAACCTCCACCTCCTGGGTTTAAGCAATTCGCCCGCCTCAGCCTTCTGAGTAGCTGGAACTACAGGCGCCCGCCATCACGCCCAGCTATTTTTTGTATTTTTAGTAGAGTTGGGGTTTTACCATGTTGGCCAGGCTGGTCTTGACCTCCTGACCTCGAGTGATCCGCCCACCTCTGCCTCCCAAAGTGCTGGGATTACAGGTGTGAGCCACGGTGTCTGGCCAAGTATCTGTTTTTAAAGGTAAATTATTCATCAAGTGCATCCTCTGTTTTGAGAGACAATCAACATGTACTCAGGGCCAAGGGCTAGATTTCCAGCAGATGTGCCTGCTTGCATATGTGTGTGTGTGTACATGTGTGCATACATGTGCACAGGTGTGTGCACGTGTGTGGGTGCACGTGTCCCTCTCATTTCCTGCATTTGAACAGCAGAGTCAGATGCTAGGCCGACTACTCTCTGTCTTGTTTGGCATCACTCTGGGTCCTGAACCAAACTCAGGTCAGCTGGGGGCATGGGCGGCCTTCCAGCCTCGCTTGGCACAGCAGCACTGGATTAACTTTGAAGAACTTTCTGCTTGTAGCAAAATGTTTCCGAGTAAAAACAACAGACGGAGAATGATCCATACCCTGTGCTACATTCCACTTATAAAAGCGCCTGAGTCATCCACTCCGAAAGAATGGGCTGTGATCTGCAAGCTGTTTAGCACGCGCTCTGAATGCTACTCATTTATGGTCAAGATGCACTGAAACTTCACTCAGTCCTTGGAAGAGAGAAAAGCTAGCAGTGGTCCCAGGGGCAGAGGAGCGGCAGACAGGGCGTTACCTAAGCCTGTGGCGTGTGGCTCTGGCTGTGAATCTGGTAGGACTCACATCTGTTTGGGGGACACAGAAATCCTGCAGCTCTCTGAGAAGCGTGCAAATGAGTGTCAGCAGGAGAGGCAGGGGGCCTCAGGAAGACACAGGCTTGGCCCCCTGCAAGCTGCCTCTCGCCCTCTCCCAAACCGCCCAGAGAAGTTTCTCCCTGGCTATGCCTGGCATGCAGTGCCCAGCTCCCCTGTAGGGCACTGATGGGCGTCCACTGGAGGCTCAGCTCTGAGCTGAACAGAGGGACCACAGTGGCCAGCCCAGGAGCAGGGGGCAGATCCCACAGTAATGGTGACCTGAGGGGAAGCTGCTCCCTGACTCCCAGGCTTTCTGGCAAGCTGCTTCTGAGGGGCCTGAGGCTGCTGGAGACCCAGTGAGCTTGCCCAGCTCACCAGCTCTGGGTGTCCGGTTAAACATCGGAACATGGAAACTGCGAGTGAAAGAAGACAGAGTGTGGCTGCTGTGACATGGGGTGTGCCTGGCCCCATCCACGGGGGCTGCATGGAGCTGCCTCCCACACGTTCTTCTGGGCAGCGAAACCCAAGCCAAAGCAGGCAGCAAAGAGGTGGGGATTGGGTCGGGCGGTGCCTCTCGGCTTGGCATCTGCACTGGGCTTTTTGACCCGACACCCCTCTGCTGGCTCATCTGTCTGGAAAGCGGTTCACTTTGATGGGAAGCTGCTGCCAGTGTGGAGGGGGTGGGGGGGGCTGTGCCATCAGGAGGGCCAAAAGGGCCGCTGATGGGGGCTGGAGACGGTTTGAGGGTCCCAGCGGCGGCTCCCAGGGCTGTGCATTTCCCAGGCTCTGGGTGGGTACTTGAGCAGGGCCCGGTTGGGTTCCCTCCTGCTGGGTGCTCTGGGCCCCGCCACAGTTGCCGGTAACCACCCAGGGCCCATGAAGCAGCTTCGCGCCCTGCAGCTACCGTGCCCAGCAGCCCAGTCCTGCCGCCCACCCGGCCGACAGCAACTTGGCTGGCCCCAGGCAGGAGGGGGCAGAAGGAGGATGAACAGAGGGCCAACAAATGATTTCACAAACAAAAGCTGACTTCTGGAAACCTGATGCAGGCGAGTGGATGATTTGATTACGGCCAGTCTTTAAAACTGAAGCCAACAGCCTGGCTGAAGAGGGCTGAGCTTTTACATAATTGAGCAGGAAAGTTCACTGCCAAGATGCGAAGTGCTCTTCACAGCACTCGGCTGCAGCCTGCCCTCCCCAGCTCCGAGAGGCCCTGCAGCCCTCATTGCATAAGTGAGACATGAAATGTCAAAATGTCAGGCATGTCAAGAGCGCCCAGGACAACAGCTTCATCGCGCCTCTCACCCAGCACAGCATCTTGGCACCAGAGGGACTGTGGTCCCCTTGGTGACTCCATGGGGAGTTTAGCAAGTGACCAGTGTCCAAGCATTCTGCAATTCCAGCCCCATGAAAATAATACCTCCTAAAGCCACTCAGAGTTTAAAAAAGAAGGCAGAGCGCAAGTGCGTTTGTGAGCACCCCTGGGAATGCGGGCGGCAGGGGTCCCTGCAGCCCCTGCTCTGCCTGGGCCGTCTGCGCCACTTTCTCCCATGTGAAAGGACACGTACTTGCCGGCTGCGTAGACTTCTGCCGTATCGAACAGGTTGATGCCATTATCGTAGGCCAAGGTCATGAGCTGCTCTGCCATCTGAAACGAGAGAACTGGCCCTGTCCTGCCAGCTGGGATGGGGCCCAGAGGCTCTGGAGCACCACCCCCTCGGCCTGGGAGGCCTCCCTGTGTCCAGCCCCTGCCCCCCCAAGTCTGACAGGTTCCCTGTGGGCCCTCTCCTTGCCCTCTCCTCCACAGGACAGGGATGGAGGCAGCTCTCAGTAACAAACCCATCGAGAATAAAGAGGGCAGAAGGAATAGACACTGCTGAGGACTGTGAATTTCTTGAGAGCAGGGATCCTATCAGTCGGGATCATCATAGGGCTTAGCATCTGCACTGGGTTGAACAGTATCCCTACAAAATTCATGTCCACCCAGAAGCTTAGAGGTGACCTCATTTGGGAATAGGGCCTTCGAGAATGTAATTAGTGAAGTCAGGTGGTACTGGGTTGGGGTGGGCCGAAACCCCATGTGACTGGTGATTTATGAGAGGAGAAGATGCAGACATGGAAGTCCATGAGGCTAGGAAGGCAGGGACCAGAGTGACTCGTCTACAAGCCAAGAACTGTCGGCAACCCCCAGGAGCTGGAAGAGGCATGGGCGGCCCCTTCCCCGGAGCCTTTGCAGGGAACGTGGCCCTGCCGACACCTCGGTATCAGACCTCCGGCCTCACGTGTGTTGTTTCAGGCCCCCAGGTCTGGCAGTCCTAGGAAACTAAGCGCTCCCCAGCAGGGGCTGTGTAGACATTGCTGGGGTGAGTCTGTGTCCTCAAAGCCAGTGCTGTGTATTCAGCTGTAGCTCATTGAGTCTTTCCCAGCACCTGCTCATGAGGACTGAATTGTTATTTTTGTGGATGGAGAAACTGATGCCCCACAGCTGGTGCATGGCGGGTTGACATCCATGCTGGCCTCTTGGCCTATGTTTCTCCAATGCCATGTGCTCCTGACCCCAAGCGACATGGCTGTGATGGCGGCCACCTTGAAGGCAAGATCGATGATGACTGCCAAGCTGAACACACCGTTCCTCAGACTCTGCTCCGTGGGTTTCTGTCAGGACACGATTGTGCTCCGTGAGCAAAGAACTGGTCGTGGGGTGGGACTCACGGAGCCAGGGGAGCCCCTCTGCAAGTGACAGCTCCCTCTGAGAGGCCGGAGAGAAAGGCGTCCCTGGACTGCTGACCCTCAGACAGGGCCGCCTCCCTCTGAGTGTCACACTTACCCGAGCACAGCTCAGAGCACTGGGCCTCTCTGGCAGCAAGCCCAGGGTGGGCTAAGTAATTCTTAATAACCCTCGAAAGCTGCAGGACAGAAATCCAGCCGGGGTGGCTTCACCGGCCTGCGTCTCTCCTTTCTGAGATCCGAAGCCCCCGTGGGCAGGAGGCGTGGAGAGTGAGGACAATGTCCTGGGGGGATCACGGGGCACCCACCATTGGGGGGCACCCACCATTGGGGGGCACCCACGGGAGAAGGCCCATGCCAACTGCTGCCCATGGGCAGGCGGGCCTGCTGCTACAGATCTGCCGACTTTCCAAGAGAAGCCAGAAGGGCAGCATATTTGTGGATGGGGGGGGCATGGAAAATCTGGCCGACAGCCTGGCAACGTTGGCACTCAGCCCCAAACGTTTCAGACACTGAAATGCAGTGCAGCTGAAGCTGAGCCCTGGTTAGTTAGTGCTGTGATTTCAGCAGGAACTTGGTTTTCAGGATCCACTCGCTTGGCTCTGTGCTTTCTTCCCACTGCAGCTCCACTGCCCTGAGGTACCAAGTGCACCCATGCTGCGGCTGCCAAGGATCGGAGGGACCCACTGCTGCCCCCCGGCCTCCTCCTCCCCAATGCGCCCACTGAGGGAGCGCCCAGGAAACTTCTCCTCCTCTAGCACTTTCCTTCCCAGTACAAGGCTCCAGACGGGCAGCTGGTTCACCTGCTCACCTCTTCCTCACCTTCCTCCTGACTCTTCCCAGATGCCTCCCATGACCAGGCCCTAGAGGGCCCAGGAGGGCAGGGTGCGCCAGGCTGGGCTGACGGGGCTACGTCCATGGTTAGGGCACTCACACTCCTGGCAGGGCTTCTCAGAGGAGGGGACTCAGGGTTCCATTTTTTGTTTTTGTATTTCAGACGTGGGTTTTCTTATCCCCCCATCTTTCTTCCATGAGGGTGGCATGCTACCCATATGCTTCTGCACTTTGATTTTTTTCACTCAGAATACATCCTAGAAACCAATCCACACCTGCTCGTGAAGACCCCTTTCTTTTTGTTGAGTTAAAACATTACTGCATTTATCAAAGAGATTTTTTTTTAAGTTGTAAAATATACATAATGAAAAAATTTACTATTTTAGCCTTTTTCAAGTGTAGCTCAGTGGCCTGAAGTACATTCACATAGTTGTGTAACCATCGCCACCGCCCAGCTCCCTGTCAGGCTCCTAACTGGAAACTCCGTACCCCTTGAACAATCACTCCCCTTCCCCACCCCAGCCCCCCGCCCCAGCCCCCCGCCCCAGCCCCCGCCCCCAGCCCCCAGCCCCCAACCCCCAGCCTCAGCCCCCAGCCCCAGCCCCCAGCCCGCAGCCCCCAGCCCGCAGCATTCTCGGGAATTTGTGAATTGAACTACTCTAGGTACTTTACACAAATGCAATCACATGGTGTGTCCTTTTTGTGGCTTGTTTCAATGAGCCTAATGTCCTCAAGGCTCAACTTTCATCTGGGGGGTAGCACGTGTCAAGAACTGTCCAAGACTGGTTTTTTTTGGAGACGGAGTCTCACACTGTCTCCAGGCTGGAGTGCAGTGGCATGATCTTGGCTTACTGCAACTTTTGCCTCCTGGGTTCAAATGATTCTCCTGCCTCAGCCTCCGGAGTAGCTGGGACTATAGGCGTGTGCCACCTAGCCCGGCTAATTTTTGCATTTTTAGTAGAGGCTAAAATGGAGTTTCACCATGTTGGGTAGGCTGGTCTTGAACTCCTGACCACAAGTGATCAGCAGTGCCGCAGCCTCTCAAAATGCTGGGATTACAGACATGAGCCACCGCACCCAACAATGACTGGGTTTTGAAGGCTATTTAGGAGTGTGTCAGATAGGCAAGGGGAGAGTGGGTGGGGGAGCAGTGCTGCAGGCCCTGGGGCTGTTGTGGGCCAGGGAGGGCAGCCTGTGGCAGCATCAGCTTCCCCGAGGTATCGCTCACCCGTGCTCAGGTCAAACCCCGGGAGCCCTCCTTGACTCATCCTCCCATCACTGGAGCGTGACATTCAGCCAATGCTGTGGCTTCCCTTGCAAATTAGTCCAGAATCTGACCCCTCTCTGCCTCTGCTGTGCCCACCCTGCCCTGAGCCTCCAGCGGGTCTTGGGTGGTTTCTCACAATAGCCTCCTGGCTCTCTGCTTCCATCCTCTCTCCCTGTACCTTCCCCAGGCAAAGCACGGTCTGCGGACCAGCATCAGCATCAGATCAGCAATGCAGCATCCAGGCTCCACGACAGCCCTGCCATATCAGGATGTGCCTTCTAAGTACATCAGGTCGTGCACACACTGAACTTTGAGACACCCCCATGACTGGCTATTCCCAGGGCAGCAGCCAGGGCAGGCCTTGGGAGACCTTTTAATCAGGTCAGATTTCCTCCTTGCAAAAGCCCTCCAGTGGCTTCCATCTCACAGAGGGCCAAAGCCAAAGTCCCCCCCAGATCTGCACCCTGACCCTGGCCCTGTCCCCACGCCCTGACCCCGGCCCTGTCCCCGCGCCCTGATCCCAGCTCTATCCCCGCGCCCTGACCCCGGCTCTATCCCTGCACCCCCTTTGCCTCAACACTTGACCTTAGGGCTTTGCCCTTCTTGTCCTCTTGGCTCCCGGAAGCCTCTTTCTCTGGACCACCACGTGGCTTCCTTACTCGCTTCTGCTTCCTGACTGCCCTGTCATCAGGACCCCACCCCCCGCCCTTCTTTTTCTACTTTCTTCTCTGCAGGCAATGAAATAATGGTTCTCCAGGCTGGGCGTGGTGGTTCACGCCTGTAATCCCAGCACTTTGGGAGGCCCGAGGTGGGTGGATCACGAGGTCAGGAGTTTGAGTCCAGCCTGACCAGCATGGTAAAACCCTACCTCTACTAAAAATACAAAAGTTAGCTGGGCATGGTGGTGTGTGCCTGTAATCCCAGCTACTCAAGAGAGTCATTTGAGCTGAGGAGGCAGAGGTTGTGGTGAGCTGAGATTGGGCCACTGCTCTCCAGCCTGGGCGACAGAGCAAGACTCCATCTCAAAAAAAAAAAAAAAAAAAAAAAGGTTCCCCAAAGGTATCAGGTCCCTTGAGCCTGTGAATGTGACCTTAGGTAGAAAAAGGGAGTTTGCAGATGGGATTAACGTGAGGACCCAGGGATGGGGAGAATGTCCTGGCTTAGCTAAGTGGGCCCTCAATGCCATCAAAGGTGACCTTATGAGGACAAGGGAGACGGAGACTTGACACAGACAGAAGAGGAGGAGGGAAAGCGCCCACAGGGGCAGAGCCTGGGGATGCGGCCACAAGCCACAGAAGGCCAGCAGCGCCGGATGCTGAAGACGCTGGGAAGGGTCCTGGCCTGGAGAAGGGAGCCCAGCCCGGCTGACTTCTGGACTTAGGCTCAGGGTTACCGAGTTTGGATCTCCAGCCCCCGGAGCCGTGAGCGAATACGTTGCTGCTGTTTTCAGCTGCACATTGGTGGCTATTTGTTATAGCAGCCACGGGCAGCTCATGCCCTCTCCACAGCACGCTCGACCACTGGAGACCGTGTCCTGCTTCTTTACCCTGTTGCCCTCTCTAGAAAGAGTGACGGGAAAGAGGCTGGAAGCGGACAGGGATATGGTGCTAGGCAGGGGCTCTGCAAGCCTGAGCTGAGTGCTTCGGGGGTCCTAGTTCCTGGGGCTGCTTGGGGGGGCGGGTGGCCCTGGCTTCTCCTGGCTCTGCTCTGCCCACCGGGAGGCTGCCCCTCCTGTTCACAGAGGAAGAACAAAGGGAGCACGGGGGACCTGAGCACACCTGGCTCCCTCCAGGGAAGAAAGCCTGGCCAAACACAGAAACCTGTGGTCACCACAGACCCCCAAGGGCGCGCAGGCAGCGGGATCAGCAGGGGCTGGCACAGCAGACGCCAACCCTCACCTCACCTGTCCCTCAGAAAAACAAAGCCACAGTACAATTCCAGCTGCATCCAGGTTGGCACCTGGGATTGGGAGGACCAGAGGCAAGAAAGACAGGGAAGGACCCGGTGGCACTGTGGGGGCTGTGCTTTCTTACTATTTTATTTATTTTTTTTTACGGCTCTGATTTTGCTGTAACTTCTCCTCCGGGTTTTTCCTCCCCCTCCCTAGAAAACTGTGGCTCTCCTCCATAGACTGCTGTCTACACCGCTTTTCCATTTGCTCTCATGGGCCTTTCCCATGATGTCCTTTAAAGACCTGCGCGCTGTGGCCGCATCCTGGTTCATTTTACGGAGCCTTTATTTTGTGACTTTTCGGTTCCTTCCAGTATCTGGGTCCCAGACACTGAAGTCAGAAGGAAGCTCGGAGACATACAGGCCACCTCCCTGTCCCCCCATCTGGGGGACAAGAAATCCACCCCTATCCCAGTACAGTTACCCCAGAGCTGAGCGCTGGCCACGAGCTTTGAGGCAAAGAGCACCAGGTGGGACCCTAGTGGCCAGTGGCCAGGTGAGACTGCTGCACCTGTTTATGGCCTGAGGCTCAGCTTCCTTGAACTGGGAATAGCACCTGCCCCCCTGGGCCAATGGAGGATTAGCTGAGATGGTAAGTGTACGGTTCTCAGCCACTCCTTCTGTTCCATTTTTATTGTCCGGCTTGTCTTGAACACTTGCTTCTAATGGGGAGTGTGAGGCCACAGAAAGGCCACCTATCAATGGGAGGTTTGGAGACCTGAAGCCACCGTGGAGGCTCCGACAGGCGCCTCGTCATCTTAGAATTCCTAGCGTGGTCTGGTCCCTTCATGGGCTCCTGTGAGCAGTGCCGGCTGAGAATGTGATGGTGTCCTACAAACTGTGGGCTCTGTCCTGTGCCACGTGAGGGTGGCTGTCATTCCTGCCCCATCAGGTGGTTTGTTCCACTCCTGGGCAAACTTTCATTTGTCCCTGGTGTGGTATAGAACTGGGCTGAGCTGCTGTTCGAACGACAGCCCTGCAGACACTGCAGGGCACAGCTGCTGCGGCCCATAGAACAGGGGACATCAAATGTTTTCTGTAAAGGGCCACACAGTAAATGCTTCAGGCATTGTGGGCCAGAGTTTCTGTTGCAATTACTTAGCTCTGCCCTTGTGTAGTGAAAGCAGCCACAATGTGTAAATGATGGGTGTGACTATGTCCCAATAAAACTTTACTTATACAAATTGGCTGCAGAATTCATTGAGACAGGAAGTAGATTAGAGGTGACCAGGGGATGGGGAGTTATTGTTTAAGGTACAGAGCTCCTGATTGGGCTGATGAAATATTTTGGAAATAGATATTGGTGAGGGTGGCACAGTAATGTGAATGTAGTTAATGCCACTGAACTGTATGCTTAAAAATGGTTAAAATGGTAAACTTAATGTTCACATAGGTAATAAAAAAACTGAAAAACAAAAAGAGTAGGCCAGCTTGGTGGCTCACGCCTGTAATCCCAGCACTTTGGGAGGCCAAGGCAGGCAGATCACCTGAGGTCAGGAGTTCGAGACCAGCCTGACCCACATGGAGAAACCCCGTATCTACTAAAAATACAAAAAAATTAGCTGGGCATGGTGGTGCATGCCTGTAATCCCAGCTACTCGGGAGGCTGAGGCAGGAGAATCCCTTGAACTCGGGAGGCTGAGATTGGGGTGAGCCAAGATGGTGCCACGGCACTCCAGCCTGGGCAACAAGAACGAAACTCCATCTCAAAAAGAGAAGCAGTCCAGGACAGTCCACCTGAAGTGCACAAATCCAGACCCTTTTCTTCTGAACTGCAGCCAGGTGGGCCCCCCGTTCTGGACATATTGATTTCTTTTTTGACACTAACTGTAGGATTAATACAAAAATGTGTCTTGCTCCTTTGCTTAGCCATTTTCACCTGCCACAACCATTCAGAATGCCGACTCCATCATCTATTTAATTCTCTGTCCTTCCAGCTTGGTGTCATCTAGAAACGATCTCCAATATCTTCACACATGTCCATTACTGTTCCTGGTGGGGACACCACAGAGGCCTGCACCAGTGGGGCTGTCCCTGGGCCATTCATCAGTGCTCCGAGGGTGTGGCCGGTTTGCTGGTGAACATGTCACCTCGCTGGGTGGGTCTAGTCTGCTTGTTTATATCTCTCCCACGAGGACATCACAGGCACCCGGCTAATACTATTTGGAAATGAAGTTACGCCCTTCTACAGAATTCTTCCATCTTGCCTTAGAAACCACACGGAAAGGGAAATGAGGCTGTCAGGTAAAGCCGATTCACAGAGAACCATAAGGCCCCCAGGCTCTGACTAGACCAATCTGATGGGTAAGGTAAGGTGATTCCTTTTGCCTTAATAACTCCAGACCTCACCCTGTGATGGAGCCTATCCAGCAACTTCAAAGCAAGGGGCAAATCATTCTATAATCAGATACTGTCTTTTTTTTTTTCTTTTTTTTGAGACAGAGTCTTAGTCGCCCAGGCTGGAATGCAGTGATGTGATCTTGGCTCACTGCACCCTCTGCCTCCTGGATTCAAGCAATTCTCCTGCCTCAGTCTCCTGAGGAGCTGAGATTACAGGTGCCTGCCACCATGCCTGACTAATTTTTGTATTTTTAGTAGAGATGGGGTTTCACCATGTTGGCCAGGCTGGTCTTGAACTGCTGACCTCAGGTGATCCACCTGCCTCGGCCTCCCAAAGTGCTGGGATTACAGGCGTGAGCAACCACACCTGGTCAGCTACTATCTTAAAAATAAAAATGACCCAAACACAAACTATATGCATTGAAATTTTGCTGGAAGCAAAGCTTTCCCTTGGAAAACTGAGCAATCACAGCTAACAATGTCTCACATCCACTCGCTGATCAATTTTTAAACGCAACCTTTCCAATAGTAAGTAGGGCAAACGCGAAAACTGCTTCTCGTGCAGAAGCCCAGAGCTCTCTCAGCAAATGCCACTGCTCTCATTTCTGAGACACTGCCTTGCTGTCTGGAAGCACGCACGTCTGGACGTGTGCCATCCCCGTCATTCCGAGAGACCCAGAGGGGCTGGTGGCGTGCAAGCTGGCTTTTCCTTAGTGTTCACTTTCCTGTTCTAATGGTGGGGACATGAGCCCCAGCAAACACATTTGACTGCGACCCACGCGGTTCATGGCGGCTGTGGGAAACGGACGGGGGATGCTTTGTGAAATGCAGATCTCAGATTCTTTAGCTTGCAGCAAGCTCTGCAGGGGCTGCATTCCAAATGACCTCGACAGATAGTTACTGGAGTCTCCACCAAGTGTGGGCAGCTACGATCTGCATTCAGCTTCAGAATTTGGGAAGCATGTGCACCCTGAATTCTCCTGGTTAACTGTGGAATGGGGGTCACGCGTGTGTGGGAAATCTGAGTCCTAGGGAGCTTGACGGACATGCTGAGGCCCAAGGCATCCACTGCTGGGTGGTGGCACCATACATGGCAGCACCTGGCTCATCTTTCTATCTCCCCTGGGGCGGGGCACCCTTGCAAAACAGAAAGAGGGCGGGAGGCTGCCTCGAGGGCTCCAAGGAGCATGTGCGCACTGGTCCATGCAGCAGACTTAACCGTGTGCTCTGGCGAGCCCGTGCTGGGCTCTGGGGTGCTGGGAGAGTCCCATCTTACCTCATCAGTGATCTGGCCTCCAAAGGTCACCCATGTTCCTGGAAGGAGACACAGGGGCTCAAGTTAGGGACCCAGAAGGAAGTTAGATTCTCCTGTTGGTGCTCAGACCTCAGGCTGCAGCGCCAGCCCGCAGCCACAGGTGTCCGTCTGTGCTGCTCTGCGGCCAGGGTGTCCTTGGTGTGTGTGGACACCTGGCCTTCAGAGAAAGTCCTGCTGTCCCTCTCTTTTTTTTTGAGACAGAGTTTCACTCCTTGTTTCCCAGGCTGGAGTGCAGTGGCACGATCTTGGCTCACTGCAACCTCCACCTCCCGGGTTCAAGTGATTCTCCTGTCTCAGCCTCCTGAGTAGCTGGGATTACAGACATGAGCCACAATGCCTGGCTAATTTTGTATTTTTAATAGCTGGGATTACAGGCGCCTGCCACCATACCCGGCTAATTTTTGTATTTTTAGTAGTGACGAGGTTTCACCATGTTGGCCAGGCTGATCTTGAACTCCTGACCTCAGATGATCTGCCAGCCTCAGCCTCCCAAAGTGCTGGGATTAAAGGTGTGTGCCACCGCTCCCGGCAGAGAAAGTTCCGCTCTCTTGGGGTCACCAAACTGAGGGGACAAAAGTCTCTAGAGCAGGCTGCTGGCTGTGGGCCCAGGAGGCCTGGGGCCTTTGAAATGCTTGTCAGAGCTGTGCTGAGGCAGCTCTCACTCCCAGGACATGCTGCAAGGAATGACACAAGGGACGCCTCCCTGAAAACAGCCGGTCTGACAGCCGCATCTGCGTGCTTGTGCTGGGACGGATCGGGGAGGGCGGTGTCAGGGCAGTGGGGGGTGTGTACTGCGTGCACATGGGAGGTGGGGACTGCACGTTCTGGGAACGGGGCAGGGGAGAAAAGGCCAAATCCAGTGGCGCTCCAGGAGGGACTCATGAGCTGAGCCTGCTACCGAAGGAAAGGTGTCTTCCCTGCACTCCCGACGCCAGGAAGGCCTCTGATTTTGTGGTGTGGTGTGGGGGCTGTGGGTGTGGGGTGGGGGCTGTGTGTGCAGGGGCCCCTGGTGTCCACCTCACCTCCTCTGCTGAGGCTGTGTCTCTCTCTCCCTCTATCCTGGGCCCCCTCCCGTCTTCCTCTTTGTTGCCATGGCAGCTGAGGCCCCCTGCATCCTGGGCTCTGGGAGCAGCTACTCCCTGGGGAGTGCTGAGGGCTGGGCCACACTGCCTCCCAAGGGGTGTCCAATTCAGCTCATGCCTGGCCCTCCCACAGCCTGTTTCCCTGGTGAGACCGAGGGGACCCCACACTCACCAAGTCCCAGGCAGGAGACCCGCAGGCCAGACTTGCCCAGATTCCTGAAAAACAAATGTCACATGAGTTCTCAGCACCCGGGCAGGACCCTGCCAGCCAGGCTCAGGTCCCGCCACTGCCAGCCCCCACCCCACTCCTACACCAGTCAGTGTGTGTTTGGAGGCTCCGAAAGGCACCGGGGACCTGCAGAGAGATGCCTCTGCTTGCCAACCCTAGGGGTACAGTGCCAACTGCCCCCAGCCCACACCTTCTGCTGGCATGGACCCTGCTGGTGCCCAGTGTGGGTCTGCAGAGTGGTCTCTAGGACAGATGGAAGTGCAGAGGGGCGCTGTCTGTTTTATGGTGAAAGCGGGCTGGTCTCAGCCCTGTGGCACAACCCATGCAGCGCCTCTTGCCAAGAAGCCCCTCTTCTCTCCTCTCTGAGGCTGCATTTGTGATTCTGTGTCTCTTCTTCCTGTCTCCAGAGACTGGTGTAGGAGATCGTCCCACTTCACCAGGACCACATAGACTGCGTGTCTATCCTTCGGGGTGCGGGGAGCTCCTTGGGGGGGTACCGCCAGTTCTCAAGCAAGGCCAGCCCTTCCTTCATTACAGATACAAGCAGGCCTGACAGCAGTGGCAGAGCCTGGCAGTGCAGGCCCCCTAACCAGGCACAGCCGCCTGGGCTCCTTCCTGCGGCCACTGAGGTGCCCACCCACGGCATCCCCGGGTCCACAGGAACAGGCCTTGGGTCATCATGACTGTCCATAGGAGGTGAAGGAGGGTGGCAGGTCTCTGCTGAGGACTGGCATGCCCCCTGTCCTGACGCAGGTCACCTGGGAGCCCACGGGGTCTCAGCAGGCCAGGCTGTCCCCAGGCACCCTTACCACTGCGCCTTACACAGCAGGCGCCTTGCTTGTTGTGGCACTGATTCCCACATTATGAGACCTGCCCAGCACGGGGAGGAGCTGGGGTTCCACCCAGGCAGTCGGCTCCCAGCTGACGTTCCCTACCATGGTGGCATGCATCCCACCCCCAACCTGTTTAGCAGGGCGTGATCTGCCCAGATGGTGAGGTTGACAAGTGGCCAGATGGGTCTCACAGCTGCAGCCAGGCCTTGACCCATCTGGGGCCGGATTCCACTTCCTTCATGGGATCCAGCTGCCAGCGTCTGGTCAAAGGGTGGATGCCTCTCGGGGGTGGGGAGTGAGGGCCACGAGGGTTGCCAGAGGATGTGGCCCAGCCTCCTGGCCCAAAGGCCCTGCACTTCCCTGGGGCCACAGCACTTCTAACTTCGGAGGATGCCACATCCTCAGTTTATTCTTTCCTGTCCCAAGCCTGGCCCCCGGGAAGGCGACGTGGGGCTTAAGCCTCATTCTGAGCCCCCCACTTCTGACATGAGCCCACTCTAACCCTCCCAGCCTTGGTTCCCTGCTTATAAGACCCCTGGACTCCTCCTATATCATGAGTGGATCTAATACTTGTAAGCAGCTTGAAAATAGTTGAACGTGTCACCAAATTGAAAGTACTTTAAAACTGCCCAGGTTTATTTTTAAATTTCCTATTAAAACCAGTCCAGCTGCCAGCCTATTGCCCCTGTAGGTAAAGCTGGGATTTTCCATAAAAAAGGACATAAGAACAGCTGGGTTTAGGAAAGAGGGTACTTGGTGGTGGCTATGGGCAGAGGCTCTGAAGCCAGAGCTCAAATATCCTCATTCAACTTTCTTGTCTGGAGGACTCCAGGCATTTAATGGAGTGGTCTGGTGCCTCAGTGTTCTCATCTGCAGAATGGGCTCAGGAGGCTGCCTTTCTCACAGGGGTTGCCACGAGGACAGAAGGTCACAGGACACTGACTCACATCTGTCTCAGTTCACAAAGAGAGCAGGAGGATGATCTTTTCTTTATTCAAAACCAACAGACAAATCAAATAAGCTTGAACTATTACCAGGTTAAAAAGGAACTGCGTTTCCTTTTCCCTCCTTATACACCAGTGAAATAATGTGACGGTACCCTCTGCATTGCTGGCATGTGCCAACCCAGAATAACTCGTGTCTGTGGCTGCTGGCGAGAACAGCCCGACTGCACCACTAATGCATTCTGCAGGAGCCTGGTCACTTTAGAAGTTTAGGCAATTTCCCCCATGCTGGCTAGAAAGTAACTGTCATAAGAAGTTACAAAGTTGTTTAGTAAGAGTCCAATAAGAAGCCAAGGGCGGGAGGTTCTGATCAGTGCCTCTCAGCTGCTTTGGGGTCACAGCCCCTTTGCAAAAACGGATAAAGCCTGGCAATATGCCCAGATACGAATGCCCTCAGAACCTTGCTTGCAATGCCTGGCTGTTCTCAGAGCCCTGGACGTTACTGGTCTATATACATCTGGGCATCGAGAAAGGAGGCCTGGCCCCTGCCTCTGCAAAGCCACCTCCATGAGTGACTGTGGGGAACAGTTGCTTGGAAAGGCTCTGCTCCAGGCAAGGTTGGGGCTGAAGAGAAGACACACCCCTTGGTTGCCAGTTTGGGGAGGGCTGGCAAAAGCTGCCCCTGTCCCTGATTCTGTGTCTGTCCCTGGTCTGACTGGTGGGAAATGGACTCGCTTCCCTGAGTGGGCTCTGGGTTCAGCCGCTTTTCCACCCATCACCCCCAGGAAAAATTTAACAAAGCTAGGACACGATGTGATGCTGAAATTACCCTGCTCAACTTGTTTCCCTGTGAAAATGATGGTATTGGTTCTGCCATCCTCTGCCAGGCCTTGGGAGAAGGGATGCGAAGGGACAGCACACCTCCAGGCTGAATGCTTTATACTCGAGGCTACTGTGTGGGGGTGGGGAGCACACATTTCAGCCGGGTCTGGATGGGGCCGCTGCCTGCTGCCCTGGAAACTTCCCAGACACAGAAGCCACTTCCCACAGATTTCCTCCCCATCATTAAAACTTGACATCCTAATGCAGCAGCTGGTCAGCATCTCAAAACCCAAACACTGTTGGTCTTCATGAATTTCCCTCGTCTCTCCTGGTCTGGAAAATGTCCAGTGAGGACTCACAGGCAGAACCTCTGCCGAGGGGGAGTGCCGATGCCCATTGTGGAGACCTTGGATGCTGTGCACCCCCAAAAACTGCATTTCAGATGTGGGAAGGGCCAGAGCCGGAAGGCTCCAGAAAATGACAGGTCTTTTTAAAAAGAGGAGTTTGGGGCCTTTCAGTGGAGCCACCCGGGCAGAGGACAAAACTGTGGTGAGCTGGTCTGGGAGAAGGGTAGACGGGAGGGCTCCTGTTAGTGCCCGGCTGGCCTATCGGCTCCGTGCAGTGACGGTCTGTTTGCACGCCTATGCTGCTCCCAGATTCCAGGCCCCCTAAGAACAGGCTGGGCTTCCAGTCCTTGTCTTCCAATTGGAGCTGGCAGTGGCAGGGTCCCAGGGAGTGCCTGTCTGAGTTGATCTTAGGGAGTAATTCAGGGGTGAGAAGCCCAGGCCCTGGAGTCAGACTCTCAGCACTAAGCACTGATCCCTCCCTTATTTACCTGCCCAAGGGCCCAAGGGGTGCTCAGTGTGGCTGGGCTCCCACCATCCCACACTGAGCACGGCTTGGGTCCTTGGGCAGGAATGTGTGCCTGGTACTGGCCATGCACCTAATACCTGTGGACTGTGCGTGTCACTGGACAGCTGTGCCTGGAGCACACCACTGGGAAGGGCCAGCTTCCCAGGGAGGTGGTCAGAGTCACAGGGAGGCTGGGATCAGGCCCCTGCTCAGTCCCTGCTGCTGGCTACCTACACCCTGGCTATGGCCCTGGGACAGTCCCTGTGCAGCAACTCACTAGGCACGTTCCGCATGAGCTGGATGGGAGAGGCGCGGGGCGGGGTGCCTGATGGGGCAGGCTTTGGATTCCAAGGCCCTTCTCAGCCCCTGTGAAACTGCACCTCATCCCACAAGGCTATGAACCCACCTCTTGCACGTGACCGCAGCAAGGAAAGCTCCCAGGTCTGGCCAGGTATAAGGATCTGTTTGCAACTCCATTGGAGAGATGGGGTCCCTCAGTCAGAGTGCTAGGGCTAGGATTTGAACTCAGGTCCTCAGACTGCAAACCCGCCAGCCCAACAAACACCCCCCTTCACTGCCCTGTCTGCCCTCCCTGCCTCCAGGGAGGGAGCCTCTGTGCACGTCTGTGCATGCACACGTAAGCACACACGGGGATCGTGAGCACTCACCCTCTGTGAGATCCACTCCTCAATGAGTTTTAGGAAGAAAACAGTGTTAACAGGCACACTTTCCAATTACATCGCCCCTTATGTTTAGAAACAGTCCCGCTTTTAACTCCTTTGAGATCCTAGGACTGACATAAAAGTAGCGGAAGGCAATAGGGTTTAAACCAAAAAAAATAACCAAACAAGATTCGGTTTATCCCACCCTTTTTTTTTTTTTTTTTTTTTTTTAAGACAGGCTCTCATTCTGTCACCCAGGCTGGAGTGCAGTGGCATAATCTTGGCTCACTGCAACCTCTGCCTCCTCAGCCTCCCGAGTAGTTGGGACTGCAGATGCATGCCACCATGCCCAGCTTATTTTTGTATTTTTTTTTGGTAGAGATTGCGTTTCACTATGTTGGCCAGGCTGGTCTTGAACTCCTGACCTAAAGTGATCTGCCCACTTCAGTCTCCCAAAGTGTTGGGATTACAGGAGTGAGCCACCTCACCTGGCCCTAATCCTAGCTTTTGATCCCTATTTAACAAAAGATGTAAACTCCAGAGCTTCTAGAATAGAGAAGTCCATTCTGGACTTCTTAAGCCTAGAGGATGGGACAAACACTTTTACCCTAGAAGTTCATTAAAGCACATCCAGCCCTCCTGGGATGCAGGGAAGGGAGAGACAGGACTGTGTATGCAAAACCCCAGAGTCATCCCAGAATTCACCTCCAGGAAGGGCTGGCTTAGATGACACGGTTTTCTCACGAGGCCCAACTCTCAGGCAACGGTTTTGGAGAGGTTTAAGACACACAGGTCAGGCATCAGGATAGACTCACAATGCCTTTCAGGTTGGCAACAATACCAGCTGTTACCCAGAAAAGTCCCAAATGCAAAAATGCACAATTCGTGGCTCTTTCTGAGGCTGGTGGCATGCACTCCTATTTCTGGTCGCTGAAAAGCAGAGTTGTCCCCAGCTCGGTTCCTGTTTTGGGAAAATCTTCCCAGGAAAGTGCGGAACCAGAGACCTAACAGCTTTGCTAGCTTATGCAGACCACATGTTGTGGAGACTTCCTTTATCCCTGGAGGATGGTTCTGGAAGCAATCAGGGCTCTGGACTCAGAGACTTACATGGGGAGTGAGGAAGGCCGGCCCCCAGAAGGGTGCCGCACAACCCTGCTCCCGGGACCCTTTGTACAAAGCCAGGACCCTCCCCTTTCTCTCCTGGGCACATTCACCCAGCCTGTGAGAAAGGTCCCAGCAGCGAAGGGGAGGGAGGCCCTGCTCCTGACCTGAGGGCTTAGCATCCTCCCCACATACAGCAGCTGCAGCCCGGTGGCGGTTGAGCCCAGGTGGAGGGAAGCAGGGCTCCTGGGCTGATCATCAGGAAATTCCAGATGCAGCCTGGCTGCCTGTGCCTGCTGGAGCAAGTCCTGCCCGCTAGAGGAATTGGGTCCTAGGCTTGGCTCAGATCGAGGAGGGAAGATTCATTCCATCTCAGGGTTCACCCCATAGCCCCTCACTATCTAACATCCATTTGTCACAGTGGCCTGCTGGTAAAGCTATCAGACCAACCCCAGGGCATCTTGTGGGGCCCATGCAGCCAGGGGAGGGCAGGAGGGTGTTGGGAGCTCTGTGGCCCATGCCTCAGGGTTCCCCAGGAAAAGGGAGCATGGGTGGCTTGGCTATTGTTCATGACCCTCAGAAAGAAAACAGTGGCAGAAGAAAGGAAGATGGCGCCCTCACCATCTCCCGCTGAACTGGGAAGAAAGGAACTTGGCCAGACTCTGAACGTTATCTCTCACCATCCACCAAGCACGAAGCACAGCCCCTCCTGGTCCTCAGCACAAACTGCCCAAGTCTGACCAACGGGGATTTGCAGATTTTATGGGCTCTCGAAAGTGAAAATCTGGGGAGGTGGGGAGGCCGGGAGGTCAGCCCCCCACCCTGCAAAGCTGTGCGCCCTCGTACCTATATTTCATCCCGTGCGGCTTCACGCTGGCGTCCCCGGCACACGGGAGGCTCTGCGCCGACAGCTGTCCCAGGCTCCGGGCCACCATGGCCACGGTGCGGAAGCGGCCTCGGGTGCCCAGGCTGGGGCTGCTGGCTGCCGGTCGGCCCAGCCGTTCCTCAGGGCCCCGGCCCTTGAGGCTGTGCTCTGAGCACACGAAGGACACCTGCATGCTGAGGCCGGGTGCTCAGATCCTGGCTGCGTCCCTGGTCCCCTTGGGCTCAGGAGCCATCTTCCTCTAGAAACTCTTCTCCCCTGACCACGATGAGACTTTATCCAGAAGGCAAGGAAGCTGCAGGGGTTCCTTCGGGAGTGAGGATTTCCAAAGGCAACAGTGGGGAAGAAGCCGGCACAGCTCCGATGGGAGGGAGTCACATTTCCAGACCCCAGCTAGAGAAGACCTGCCTGAAGAGTGGCTGGAGGTTGAGGACGCGCATTTTCTCCCCCTCACATCTCTTGTCTCTGCAGGTCCTTCCTCTGTCCCCACCCTTGTCCAGCTCTGGCTGCCCAAGTCTTCAGCCCAACAGTCTCCAAAAGTGTTGGGCAGGGCAGGGCTGCGAGTTACTCCTGATGATGAGTGACAGGTGATGAGCACAGCCGCCTTCCTTGGATGGGAGAAGGGAGGGCTCCCTCCGGCGCGTCCTCGTGGCTCGCTGAGCTGGAGGTGATGGTGTGGGGGCTGTACAGGGCCGCAGTGACTGGTTCCTTGGGGCAGCGGCTCAGGGGGTCTTGAGGAGCAGCTGCTTATCCCGGCTTCTTGAGTCTCTCTGAGGGAGCCTGGAATCCAGTTCCTGGCTCTGTGCGCCGTGGGCGGCTGAGGCTTCTACCAAGTCAGTGAGGCAACCCGGGAGAGGTGCGGGCAGTGTCTGGCCATTCATTATTAATGAAGCAGGATGCACGAGATGCCTGCCCTGGCTGGCCCCCCGAGGCCGTCTCTGGCTGCTCCGAGCTGACAGCTGCGGGGCCAGGGCTGGCCTGAGGCCTGGGCAGGCGCTGCAGCCAGGGTGGACGCCACGGGCTGGACGGCTGAGCTTGCAGGCAGCCAGCTCCAAGCGAGGCAAGGCCCGCTCCGCCCATGCCCAGCGGAACCTGCTTGGGGTTCTCACTCCGGAGAGTGGGGTATCCACTGGGGACTGGCACAAGGAGAAGCAACATCACCAGAAATGTGGAGAAGAAACCATTGTGTCTTGATGATAATGACACATATGGCCCAAGGAAGGAAACCCGGGGGTCAAAGGGACAGAGAGGTTCCAACACTCCCAGTAAAACTTAGCTTACAGCAGACACTCAATACATACTCTGCAAGCAATGCATGAGTGGTTGAATGAATGTAGCCCCTGCCCCACTTTATCCTCTTCAGCATCCGGAGGGGCTGGCCGTGCCCTCTGACCCCAAGTACCCCCCTCACACCCTGCAGGTAGGCCCTGGCCCGAGCTGCTTTCTGGGGCCCTCTTGTCCTGCCAGGAGGTGCTAAGAGCACTGGAAGGTGGTGGGGTGACAGGGAATAGGCGATCCTGTGCACAGCCCAGCCCCCACTTGAGGCTGGAATCCAGGACTCAAAGGTGACAGCCCTGGCCTCCGGGCAGCTCACAGGCTGCTGAAGAGGCACAGACAGCTACCACCCCACCTCTGGCCCCTATCTAGGGCTCAGGTTAAGTCTTTGCCCACTGCCCTTCTCCCTCCTTGGAAGCTCTTTCTAGGGTGTGAGGGGCAGCAGATCTTAGCATCCCTACTTCCCCTAAATGTGCAGAGGGCCAAGATGGAACTGGCTCAGACCATCTCACAGAATTTTTGAAAAGCCCCCTTCCCTGTTTGTGAAAAGGATCACACTGAGTTGTTCAAAGAGCCTCTGGGTGCCTACTGTGTATCACGGGGCACCTGCTCACTGTCTAGGGCAGGGTTGTTCAACATCTGATCACGTCAGGGGAGCTAATTACAAAGGCAGAGTCCTGGGAGCGCCCCTCCCCACGGAATCAGCAGCTCTGAGGCCCAGCCCGGAAGGTGGTGTTTCTACCAAGAGTTTCGAGTGTGCTACGCGTGATGGCCTCGTGAGACGCGGAAACCCTCTGCCTCTTCCTTACACAATCTCTGTGCTCTGGCAAACCATTGGATCCCACAGTGGCTGGGATCTTACTACTCCCCAGGGGTGTCCTTACCCCAGGGCTGCACTTTAAGCAGCACAGAGTTAATAAGTGAGACTCACAAGACTTTTAGTCGCCACAGTGTAAAATGTCATCAGCTTCACCACATGATCCAGCAATGCCTCGGCTAGCTATGTCCTCAAAGAACCGAAAACATACGCCCACACAAAAACTTCAACACAAATGTCCACAGCAGTATTATTCACAATAGCCAAAAACTGGAAACAACCCAAACACCCATCAACTGACACATGGAGAAACGGAATGCAGTCTCTCCAGACAATGAAGTACTATTTAGCCATAAAAAGGAAGGAAGTATTGACACAGGCTACATATGGATGAACTTGAAAACATGATGCTAAGTTAGATGCTCATGAAAGAATGCATATGATTCCATTTATACGAAATACCCAGGTGAATCCATAGAGACAGAAAGCTTGGTGGTTGCAGGGGGTGGGAATGGGGAGTGAGAGCTGAAGGTTCCAGGACTTCTTTTTTGGGGGTGATGAAAATATCCTAAAATTGTGGCATTGTTTGCACAGCTCTGTGAATACATGAAAACGCCTGAATTGCACACATTAAATGCATTTTATGGTATGTGAATTATAATAAAGATGCTCTCCTCCCCCCCAAAAAAAGTCACTTGCCTGAAAACTCTCTGGGCCTCTGTTTCCTGTGGAAGTGTCCTTTTTGTTCCTCTGCCTTTGAACCTAGAGTCGCTCTGACATCAGCTCAGACAGTGTGTGTGCTGTGAAGCCAGACCCCCGGCACGAGGAACCCCTCCCTTCTCTGAATGCTGCTGACCACGTTCTTCCCAGGGACACCAGGGGTGGGAAGCAGCTTGCCTGTGGTCATCTTGGTGTCCCCACTGTCCAGCACCATGTCATGTGCCCAAAAGCCTTCAATAAATATTGGATCAATGAACCCGGGAAAGACAAACTTATGTTCCTTATGATATGATACTAAAGGACCTAAATAACTGCCAGACGAATGTCCACTTACTGGGGGAATGGTGCTTCCTAGTTCACATTGTGCTTTTTTGAGAACCCAAGGGAGAAATTTTAGGGACGCTGGACTTCTCAGCAATCAGTGGGCTTCTTCTTTGCTGGAAAGTCTGAATGAAACACACAGCTCTCGCCAGTCACCGCCCGGTTTTCTAGTGGGTGAATTTGGTATTTTATTTTTACCACCAATTTATTTTACTAAACTACCCTTATTTTCCATTTTCCCCCTATTTGCTATTATTTATTCTAAAAATTTCGTGGTAGCGGATTAATTTAAGGATGTCACCTACAATCCTTTTTAGAATAAGGTGGGGTGAGGGGTGATTTTAAAAAGAATTCATGTAATTTTTGCATTATGCACATTATATTACATTGGAATCTATGAAAATTGGTGGCATAGATGATAACTCTGTAACAGTGGGTGTCACGTGGGAGGGGTTTTGTTCCCCAGGGAGCACTGGGCAGTGTAGGGAGGCATTTTTGGTCGTTCCAACTGGGCAAGGGGTGGTCCTGGCAGTAGGCAGAGGCCACAGATTCTGCCCCATGACAGAGAATTCTCCAGCCCAAGTGTCAGTGGTGCCGAGGTTGAGGGGGCCTGCTCTGTATCAACCAGAATCTGGGACGGCGTCTCTGTTAACATCGTCTGGGCAAGGGAAGCCGGGGACATTCATGAGCGGGGGCAGAAACTGGGAGGTAAAGAGGGGGCCCTGCCAGAAAAAACCACCTCCTAACAAGCAGCCCTTGGTGTTGAAAACCTCTCCCACCCAGGAAGGAGATGCCCTGAATGGCCCCCAGGAGGAAGTGGTGGGGGGGCTCCCAGCTACTTCAAACTTTTCTATATTTCCCAAATTTTCTATCGTGAGATGCATATTTCTCTTATAATCAGGGAAAAATCTTCCAGTTTTTCTTTATAATTTTAGGGGTCAGGCGCGGTGGCTCATGCCTGTAATCCCAACACTTTGGGAGATGGAGGCGGCTGGATCACCTGAGGTCAGGAGTTTGAGACTGGCCTGGCCAACATGGTGAAACCCTGTCTCTACTAAAAATAGAAAATTAGCTGGGTGTGGTGGCAGGCGCCTGTAATCCCAGCCACTCTGGAGACTAAGGCAGGAGAATCGCTTGAACTGGGGAGGCGGAGGTTGCAGTGAGCCAAGATTGTGCCACTGCACTCCAGCCTGGGCAAAAGAGCAAAACTTCCAAAAAAAAAATGTATGAACAATAAAAAAACAAGACAAAAAAATGTGTGTACCCACACACTCGTATATTTAACCAAGGGCATTCAATTTTCAAGACAAAACAAAGAAGGGCCAGCTGCTTCTGGCGGGTGCCCAGGTCTCGAGTCCACAAGCCCCACCCCAGGATGGATGACACTTTGCCACTCTGTGCACAGTTGTTCCGGTGTTGGCACTGGCTGCACAGCCCAGGTAAGTACTTCCCCGGTGCAGCCTCTGTCCACACAGTTGCTCAGGACACTGAAGACAACCTTACAAGAGAGAAGGTTCCCCTCTTATGCACAGAGCCCCAGGTGCTAGCCTCGTCCTCAGCTTGGCTTTCTGGGGCCTGTACTCTGAAGGGAAGATTCTGGAAGGTCCAGATTTCCCACTTGGACAAGGATTCTGCATTAGTCAGGGTTCTTTAAAGGGACAGAACTATGAGCACAGGCGTCTATATGGAGGGGAGTTTATCAGGAAGACAGACTCCCACGACCACAAGCTGCAAGCTGAGGAGTCAGGAAGCCTGTCCGAATCCCAAAACCTCGGAAGTAGGGAGGGCAACAGTGCGGCCTTCAGTCTGTGGCTGAAGGCCTGAGAGCCCCTGGCCAATCACTGATGTAAGATCAAGAGTCCAAAAGCTGAAGACCTTGGAGTCTGATGTTCAAGGGCAGGAAGCCTCCAGCACAGAAGACTCAGCCAGTCCAGTCCTTCCACGCTCCTGCCTGCTTGTATCCTAGCTGCACTGGCAGCTGATTAGATGGTGCCCACCCAGATTGAGGGTGGGTCTGCCTCTCCCAGTCCCCCCTCACAGACACACCTGGGAACGGTACTATGTATCCTTCAATCCAATCAAGTTGACACTCAGTATTAACCAACATAGATCTCTTCTCCCGCTCTGTTCTGAGTCCTGGGTTTGGGGCAGCAGGTGCACGCTACACAGAGCAGGACCTACGGAGAGGCATGCTGTGGGCACGAGAAGAGACCGACACACTCGGGGCTGCACAGGTGATGCACCTGGAGCCACAGCAGGGGCGCATCCACCCAGCCACGCCAGCTCTGCCCCGTGCAACACACCAACACACCAACACGCAGGCTGCAACACGCAGCCTCCTGCAATCTGAAACTGGCCGTAGCATGTCAAGCCCATGTGTTTATGACGTGAACTCACAGGTGGATACAATTCCCATGCTGAGGCAGCCCTCTCCGTCCCTTTGGCTTCAGCGGGTTCTGTGGGGGCGCTGGAGTTTGAGCCTGACAAAGCCCACTCCAGTGGGGGCTGGGGTCTGGCAGCCAGTCCCTGGAAGCCGGTCCTCAGGACCCACCCCGGCAGGTGCTCAGGTGTGTACAAGTTCTCCTCGAGGTGCAGGAAGCACCTCTGACCCTTGTGGCCCCCTCCCAGAGGGTCCTGTTTAGAACTCTGGCACTCATTCCCACTAAGCCAGGGCTGTGGGACAATGGGATGAATAGCTGAACTCAGAGCTCCCTGGAAACGGGACAAATGTGCTGTGCTCACAGGGAACCGCTACTCAGAGAAGGTGGGCAGGAGCCTGGTGGGTTTCAGAGGCTCACCAGACTCTAGAATTTTCCACCTGTCCAAAACACGTGTTGAGGCCAGGCATGGTGGCTCACATCAATAATCCCAGCACTTTGGGAGGCTGAGGTGGGTGGATTGCTTGAGCCCAGGAGTTTGAGACCAGCCTGGGCAACATGACCAAACCCCACCTCTACCAAAAATGTTTCAAATTAGCCGGTGTGGTGGTGATCACAGCTACTGGGGAGACTGAGATGGGAGGATCACTTGAGCCCGAGAGGTCAAGGCTGCAGTGAGCTGTGATCACACCACTGCACTCCAGTCTGGGCAACAGGAGTGAGACCCTGTCTCAAAACAACACAAAAAACAAACAAAAAAATCAAAACAGGGGTTGAGACTTTCAATATTCTTAGAAAGGATTAGACAAGAGTGGGAAAGCTAAAAGCTCACAACTGTGGCCTCAGCTTTGTACAGTTAAATGTCCTCCTAAAGGGCCTCTCCTTGCAGATGCATCTAAGTGGGGACGAGGGCGAGATCCAGACATGTGGTGGTTGACTTCTTTCTTTTCTTTTTTTTTTCGAGACAGTCTTGTTCTGTCGCCCAGGCTGAAGTATAGTGGCACAATCTCGGCTCACTGCAGCCTCTACCTCGAGTTCAAGTGATTCTCCTGCTTCAGCTTCCTGAGCAGCTGGGATTACAGGCGTGTAACACTACGCCCAGGTAATTTTTGTATTTTTACTAGACATGGGGTTTCACCATGTTGGCCAGGTTGGTCTTGAACTCCTGACTTCAAGTGATCCACCAACCTCGGCCTCCCAAAGTGCTGGGATTACAGGCATGAGCCATGCCCGGCCATGTGCTGGGTGACTTCTATCAGGCTTTGGTCAGAGGCACTGAGTGTGGCTGGTTGACTTCAACTTACAACAGATTTCTGTTTCTTTTTCTGCCTCTCTGGTACCTGCTGTGGATAAGATGAAGCAGCTAGCTCCTACTGTGATTCAATGGAGGGTGGCCATCCCCAATTAAAAGCTCTGTGGTGCATCTGTGGAGTGCACCACAGACAGCATCCCTGTAGAGGAGGCTTCCGGCTCAGGGCCTGGAGTCCACTCCTCCTGCTCAGGCCTGGAGAGGCAGGAAAGCCGGGTCCAGCCAGCTCTTCCCCGATAATGGAAACAGGCTTGCAGTGGGAGGGGCAGATGCCCTTCTATACATTCAACTAGGCCTGTGAAGGCCTCAGGGCTTAGAGAAGGTTTTAGATATGGCTTTTAAAAGCACAGCCTTCAGCAGCTTCTCTGAGAGTAAGGATGAGGTTCTGCAGCCTGCAGAGATCTCCTTGGCCATGCTGAATGCAGCGTGGTTTGCATCCAAAGGTGGCTTCTTGCCCAAAGAAGGGCAGCAGATGCTGAACAGTTAAGTGGCTGCCCCAATGGAGCAGTTTGTAAGAACAAAGGGAAGCAAGGCTGGTGGCCTTCCTGGAGGAGGGGTCCACCAGGAGAGTAATAGCTGAAGACCCCACAGGGGCTAAGTGCTGTGAGTGTGGCTTCCTTCAGCTGAGACATGAAGCAAGGGCCCCTGGGAAAGGCCTGAGCCACTCGTGTTCAAGGCCAAGTCGGCCAGCAGGAGAGCGGGTCAGCAGTGCCAGGGAGCGTGGAAGGGCTCCAGGGAGAAGTTGAGCTCCATGCGGAATTCCAAGAATGTCCTTCTCCTGAGAGCAGCGGCAGGAGGGCAGAGGGTGGGAGCCTGTGGGGCAGCGGCAAGGTTCTGTGTCTGGAGTAGGATGACCCGCCGGCCTTGTCAGATGGTGCATCAGATGCTGGGGGACTTGACACAGAGGGACAGTGGGAGGCTGAGGGAAGGAAGAGGCCACAGGACTGGTGACGGGACGTGAGAGCTCCCGTGGACCTTGCCCAGAGCATACATCCCACCGGTGGGGCCCATTCTGTGGTCGGGCTGAGTGGACCTTGCTGGGGTCATACCTTGAAGCTGCAGGTGACGCTATGACAAGTTCTCCTGCAAGCCGTGTGTGGGCTCCCCGGGAACTGGCTTTACATGGTCTGCAAAGCCGTGTAAGTTCCTCCTTCCTCTTGCTCACCAGGACCGCACGGCCCCACTCACTTCCAACTCCAGGAGCCCTGAAAGGGGAGGCGGCCGGCAGCTGTGAGTTGGCCGGCTCTGTTCTGAGCTGCTGCTGTTTCCCATGCAACTGTGCCGGCCCCGAGTAAGCACCTCTCCTTTCTTTCCTCATTCCGTCCTCAGAAGCAACCCTTCGAGACATAACAAGACCAGTAACAATGACCATGGCACCAGCACTGGGTGGTGCTCCCTGTCCTTGCTGGTCCGAAGAGCGTCTCGGGGTAGGCAGATGCCCCAAACCTCCAGGCAGGGGCCTGGCGATCTGTACTGTGACAGATATGGCTGGGCACAGTGGCCCACACCTAGAATCCCAGCACTTTGGAAGGCCAAGGTGGGTAGATCGCTTGAGCCCAGGGGTTCCCGGCTAGCCTGGGCAACCTAGTGAGACTCGTATCTACAAAAAGTACAAAAATTAGCCGGCTGTGGTGGTGTGCGCCTGTGGTCCCAGCTAGTAGGGAGGATGAGACTGGAGGATTACTTGAGCCCGGGAGGTTGAGGCTGCAGTGAGCTGTGACCGCACCACTGCACTTCAGCCTGGGCCACAGAGCAAGACCCTGTCTCAAAACAAAACAAAACAAGAAACATGAGAAACATGCATCCCGTGATTCCTGTGGTCAGGCCAGATCCAGACGCACCGAGGACATCGTGAAGCATTTACAAGGTGGCCAGGGCAGGTGTTTGGGTCTCTGCCTTTCCTCCCACTCCTCCTTCAGAAGCCCTGTGGGGAGGGAAAGGCTGTTCTGTCCTTTTAGGGGAGCTGGGGCTGGAGAGGCTGGGGCTGCAGATGGATGCTGTTCCCAGGCCTGGGATGACTATGACCACCAAGTCTCCAATGTAATGCCCACTGCCAGCAGAAGCCATCCCGGCCCCGACACAGGCCCCACACAACTGCCAGCTATGGTCCTGGGCAGGCCCTTATGGAGAGCCCTAGGGCTGCCAGCTGGCTTTCCCCCAGCCCCTGCGTCTGGCCTTGCAGCTCTTCCAGAATGACTGGCTGCTTGCCTCCCTCCCTCCTGTCCCTTCCTGATGCCTCTGCCCCCTGTCTGCGCAGCACTGAACTGCACCTCTAAGTGCGACTAGGTGCACGAATGAGGCCCCAAGACGGACAGATGGAGGACGGTTCAGATGCCTGGACAACTGCTGGGTGGGAGGGTCCCTTTCCCAGGGAGGGGAAGGGCCTGCATTTCTCTTCAAGGAGCCCAGCCTGGAGCTTTGAGTTATGTCACCATCTTAGTCAGTCCTCAGGACAATTCTGATGTAGGGACCATGGTCTCCACTTTCCAGGTAAGGAAACCGAGTTGCGGAGAGGCCGGGGGACTCATCTGAGGTCACACAGGTGGCTGGTGGGGGCCTGAGTTCCTCCCAGGACACTCAGGGATGTTCCTGCAGGTTCAAGGTGCTGAGTCAATCCTTGGGGCCTGTGGCAGGTCGAAATGTGTCCCCAAAAGACAGTTGAGATCAGAATTCCTGATGCCTGTGAGTGTGGCCTTATTTGGAAACAAGGTCTTTGCAAATGTCATCAGGTTAAGATGACATGGTCCCGGCTTAGGGTGGGCCTTCAATCTGATGACTGGGTTTTTGTTTTTTGCTTTTTTTTTTGAGGCAGGGTCTTGTTCTGTCATCCAGGTTGGAGTGCCAGTGGCCCAATTTCGGCTCACTGCAGCCTCCACCTCCTGGGTTCAGTGATCCTCTCACATCAGCCTCCTGAGGAGCTGGGATCATAGGCACATGCCACCATGCCCGGCTAATTTTTGCATTTTTTGTAGAGTTGGAGTTTTGCCACATTGCCCAGGCTGGCCTTGAGTCCCTGGGCTCAAGCGATCTACTCGCCTCAGCCTCCCAAGGTGCTGGGATTACCAGCATGAGCCACTGTGCCTGGCCATGACTGGTGTTTGTATAAGGAGAGATTTGGAGACAGAGGCTCACAGAGGGAAAACGGCCATGGGAGGGCAGAGGCAGAGACGAGCGATGTGGCTACAAGCTGAGGAATGCCCAGGACCGCCGGCACCACCAGAAACTGCGGGACGAAAAAAGGACCCTCCCTGGGGCCTTCAGAGGAAGTATGTCCCTGCCATGCCTGGACGCTGGACTTGCAGCTCCCAGAACCAGGAAAAAGAAACTTGTGTTGTTGTAACCACCTAGTTTGTTACAGCAGCTTCAGGAAAGTCCAACAGGATCTTTCCCAAGACAGATCCCGTCCCTTGGAGACCCCTCTTTCACAGGATGGACTTGGCCTTGTAGGCAGGTTAATCCACCAGCCCTCTCTGGCCTCTGCTGTTTTTCTCCTGCCCCTCCTCCTGCCCTCAGTGCCCTCCTTCTCTCCTGTCCTATAAGACACACGGGGATTCCCAGCTCTTCCAGGAAGTCTTCCCTGGCTGGCCCCACTGGAAGTGACGGCCTATGGTTAACAGTAACTACAGTCTGCTCAATGTACTTGGCAACCAACCGAGTACTTCCTGGTGAACCTTAGCCTGTGGTAAGAGCCTGGGGTCTAGAGTCAGAAAGCACAGGAAATCAGGACTCCTGTCCCGCCAGGAAGTTCATGACCAAGGGTCAGTGCCCAAGGACTGCAGAGGCTCCCTGAACTGCAGAGAGAGCTCAGACCAGCTCCCAGTCAGTCTTGTCTTCCCACCGTCAAGGATGAAGCCAGAACGAGACATGCGCTTTTGAAGTGGATATAGACCAAGCCCACACTGGAGGCCAAGGCGGATGGATCGCCTGAGGTCGGGAGTTCAAGACCAGCCTGACCAACGTGGTGAAACCCAGTCTTAAAAAAAAAATAAAATAAAGACCAAGACCACGAAGCACCTTCCGACCTATACTCACAGAGGCTGGGGGCGTCCTGGCTGCCGGGGGACAGGCAAAGCTCTGACCTCAAAGCAGTGCAGATGGGCAAAGAGCAAGGCAACCGAGATGGAGGAGGGGTGAGGCAGACACTCACACAGGAGAGGGGCTTCGGAGTGACTTGGTAAGTGCTTGTTTAGAGTGGGTTCCTGGGACAGTCTCTCTGGGGACCAAGCTTAGATGTAATGATGGGAAGGAACCAGCCATGTCTGCGGATGCACCCTCCAGGCAGAGGGAACAGAAAGTGCGAGGCCCCTGTGGGGGGAATGAGATCCCCTTGGAGATACGGAAAGAAGGGGCAGCGTCTGCAGCCTCCTGAGGGGGAGAGAGAGGGGTCTGGGTTGAAACCAAGGAGGAAAGCTAGGGCCACACAGAGCCTTGTGGGGAGTTTGGGTTCCCTCCCAGCACCGCAGGGAGCAGGGAAAACACAGCTGAACCCAGGACTGGTGTGCAGCCAGCACGGCGTGGACCCGGCCACAGCTTCTGGCCTGCCAGAGTCTGAGGCCACGTCTCCGAACCCATCCACAGGGCAGGGAAAGCGGATGCTAGACCAGTGCCCTCACCTGCTCCCTCACGCTTACACCGGGGCTGTGTGGATTTAAAAACTGACCTTGAAATTCTTTTTAACAGCAAGAATGGAGGACAATTTAAAACATGGGGAAGTGTAAGCCGGGTGTGGTGGCTCACGCCTGTAATCTCAGCACTTTAGGAGGTGGAGGCAGGCAGATCACTTGAGGTCAGGAGTTTAAGAGCAGCCTGGCTAACATGATGAAACCCCGTTTCTACTAAAAATAGCAAGGTGTGGTAGCTTGGGCCTATAATCCCAGCTACTCGGGAGGCTGAGGCAGGGGAATTGCTTGAACCTGGGAGGCGGACGTTGTGGTAAGCTGCAATGGCACCCACCACTCCAGCCTGGGCAACAGAGCCAGACTCTGTCTAAAAAAAAAAAAAAAAATGGGGAGGTGTAACAGGGATGCTCCCCACCACCTCCACCAGCTGCAGCTCAGTTCAGCTGATAAAACGCCCAGGCCGAAGGCACAGCTGGTTCCTTGCTGCCCTGGCCAGCGCCTATCCCCAGGTATCATCTTTCCTATATTCATATTTAAGACCAAGTTTAGTGGAAGCCTAGTCCAGTCGCTGATGGAGATGAGCTGACCACAGAATAAATTTATCCAGGATCTGTAATAACTGGTGGTTTGAGTCATGGAGCACCCCCGACCCCACTGCTGCCAGCCCAGGTGCAGCAAAATGAAATTCACCATAGGCCACCGCTCCCCCGACCCCGGCCACTTCATCCCAACGAGTGTAAACAACAACCTTTGGCCCATCAACTGCTAAAGGGTCTTTGTTGGTTGGGTGAGGGGGCTCACGCCTGTAATCCCAGCACTTTGGGAGGCCAAGGTGGGTGGACCACCTGAAGTCAGGAGCTCGAGACCAGCCTCATCAACATGACAAAACTCTGTCTCTACTAAAAATATAAAAATTAGCCAGGCGTGCTGATGCATGCCTGCAGTCCCAGCTACTCAGGAGGCTGAGGCAGGAGAATCACTTGAACCTGGGAGGCAGAGGTTGCAGTGAGCTGAGATCGTGCTACTGCACTCCAGTCTGGGCAACACAGCAAGACTCTGTCTCGTGCTACTGCACTCCAGTCTGGGCAACACAGCAAGACTCTGTCTCAATAAAAAAAAAAAAAAAAAAAAAAGGGCCTTTGTCTCCTGGTCTCCTCCTCTCCCCAGGAAGTGAGTTCTCCAAGGGCATTTCAGCTCCACAGTGGGTCCTACAGTGTCTCAGAGGCTGCTTGGACATTTTCCTTGGGGTGTCAGACAAATAAAACATATGTTCTCCCCACCTGTGGGAGTTCCCTGCTGCTGCCATTACAAAGAGCCCTGAATTAGAGAGCTTAGAACAACAGAAATGTCTTCTCTCCCACTTCTGGAGTCTGAAGTCCAGGTGTGGGAAGGGCTCCCTTTGAACTGAGGTGTCCTTTCCTGCTTCTTCCAGCCTCTGGCAGCTCCTGGTGGGGTAGGAGACTAGGGTCTGGAGGCAGGAAGCTGAAGGCCAATTCCTGCTGACTTCCTAGAACTAAGTCAAAGGAAAACCCCAACTTTCCATGCCCAAGTAACAAAAGGACCAGAGGCATGGTACCTTTGCATGGTACCCCCTTTTCTGCATGACAGATGAAAAATGGAAAATACCTCTGATTGGTCCCCTCCTGCAACCAGTCAGGCTGGTCGTGGGCCAAATCTTCATTTGCATAGACGTGTAAATTTGTAACTTCACTTCAGCCTCTGATTGGTCACTTTCTGCAACTAATCAGACTGATCACAGGACACTACTTCATTTACATAGGGCGTGTACCAAGTAACTAGTGGGAAACCTCTACAAGGTATTTAACCCCCAGGAAATTCCGTATCCAGGCTGTTGGGCCGCCTGCCCACTCCCATCCTGTGCAGGGTAGCATTGTTTTCTTTTCTTTCTTTCTCCCTCTCTCTGTTTTTGAGATTGGGTCTCTCTCTGTCACCCAGGCTGGAGTGCTATGATTCAATCTTGGGTCACTGCAACCTCTGCCTCCTAGATTCAAGTGATTCTCCTGCCTTAGCCTCCCAAACAGCTGGGACTACAGGTGTGAGCCACCATGTCCTGCTAATTTTTGTGTTTTAAATAGAGATGGGGTTTTGCCATGATGCTCAGGCTGCTCTTGAACTCTTGGCCTCATGTGATCTACCCGTCTTGGCCTCCCAAACTGTGGGGATTACAGGCCTGAGCACCGCACTCGGCTGCTTTTGTTGCTTCATTCTTTCCTTGCTTTGTATGTGCGTTTTGCCCAATTCTTTGTTCAAGATGCCAGGAACCTGGACACCCTTCACTGGTAACACCAAGATTTGAAGTTCCTTGGGTTGTGGACGCATCGCTCCACTCTCACCACACAACCTTTTTTTTTTTTTTTTTTTTTTTTTTTTTTTTTGGGGGGGGT